GTCTTGGGGGGTGGAGGGGTATTGGGGAGGGGTCCCAGAGGCTGAGGGGGATTGGGGAGGGGTCCCAGAGGGGGGAAGGGGCATTGGGGAGGGGTCCCAGGGTGTGGGGGGGCATTGGGGAGGGGTCCCAGAGGGGGGAAGGGGCATTGGGGAGGGGTCCCAGGGTGTGGGGGAACATTGGGGAGGGGTCCCAGGGTGTGGAGGGGTATTGGGGAGGGGTCCCAGAGGGGGGAGGGGCATTGGGGAGGGGTCCCGGGGTGTGGAGGGGTATTGAGGAGGGGTCCCAGGGTGTGGAGGGGTATTGGGGAGGGGTCCCAGGGTGTGGGGGGCATTGGGGAGGGGTCCCAGGGTGTGGAGGGGTATTGAGGAGGGGTCCCAGGGTGTGGGGGGGCATTGGGGAGGGGTCCCAGAGGCTGAGGGGGCATTGGGGAGGGGTCCCAGGGCGTGGAGGGGTATTGGGGAGGGGTCCCAGGGTGTGGGGGGGCATTGGGGAGGGGTCCCAGGGTGTGGGGGGGCATTGGGGAGGGGTCCCAGAGGCTGAGGGGGCATTGGGGAGGGGTCCCAGGGTGTGGGGGGGCATTGGGGAGGGGTCCCAGAGGGTGGAGGGGTATTGGGGAGGGGTCCCAGGGGGTGGGGGGGCATTGGGGAGGGGTCCCAGGGTGTGGAGGGGCATTGGGGAGGGGTCCCAGAGGCTGAGGGGGCATTGGGGAGGGGTCCCGGGGGGTGGGGGGGTATTGGGGAGGGGTCCCAGGGTGTGGAGGGGTATTGGGGAGGGGTCCCAGGGTGTGGAGGGGTATTGGGGAGGGGTCCCAGGGTGTGGAGGGGCATTGGGGAGGGGTCCCAGGGGGTGGGGGGGTATTGGGGAGGGGTCCCAGGGTGTGGAGGGGCATTGGGGAGGGGTCCCAGGGTGTGGAGGGGCATTGGGGAGGGGTCCCAGGGGTGGGGGGGTATTGGGGAGGGGTCCCAGGGTGTGGAGGGGCATTGGGGAGGGGTCCCAGAGGGGGGAAGGGGCATTGGGGAGGGGTCCCAGAGTGTGGGGGGGCATTGGGGAGGGGTCCCAGGGTGTGGAAGGGTATTGGGGAGGGGTCCCAGAGGCTGAGGGGGCATTGGGGAGGGGTCCCAGAGGGGGGAAGGGGCATTGGGGAGGGGTCCCAGAGGCTGAGGGGCCATTGGGGAGGGGTCCCAGGGTGTGGAGGGGCATTGGGGAGGGGTCCCAGGGAGAGGGGGGGCATTGGGGAGGGGTCCCAGGGTGTGGGGGGGCATTGGGGAGGGGTCCCAGGGGGTGGAGGGGTATTGGGGAGGGGTCCCAGGCTGTGGGGGGGCATTGGGGAGGGGTCCCAAGGGGTGGAGGGGTATTGGGGAGGGGTCTTGGGGTGTGGGGGGGCATTGGGGAGGGGTCTTGGGGGGTGGAGGGGCATTGGGGAGGGGTCCCGGAGACTGAGGAGGCATTGGGGAGGGGTCCCAGAGGGGGGAAGGGGCATTGGGGAGGGGTCCCAGGGTGTGGGGGGGCATTGGGGAGGGGTCCCAGGGAGTGGAGGGGCATTGGGGAGGGGTCCCAGGGTGTGGGGGGGCATTGGGGAGGGGTCCCAGAGGGAGGAAGGGGCATTGGGGAGGGGTCTTGGGGGGTCTCTGAGGGTCCCTGAGGGTCCCTGAGGGATCTCGGGGGTCCCTGAGGGGTCCCTGAGGGTCTCTGAGGGTCTCTGAGGGTCTCTGAGGGTCTCTGAGGGTCTCGGGGGTCTCTGAGGGTCCCTGAGGGTCTCTGAGGGTCCCTGAGGGTCTCTGAGGGTCTCTGAGGGATCTCGGGGGTCCCTGAGGGTCCCTGAGGGTCCCTGAGGGTCCCTGAGGGATCTCGAGGGTCCCTGAGGGTCCCTGAGGGATCTCGGGGGGCTCTGAGGGTCCCTGAGGGGTCCCTAAGGGTCTCTGAGGGTCCCTGAGGGGTCTCGGGGGTCCCTGAGGGGTCCCGGGGGTCCCTGAGGGGTCTCGGGGGTCTCTGAGGGTCTCTCGGGGGTCTCTGAGGGTCCCTGAGGGTCTCTGAGGGTCTCTGAGGGATCTCGGGGGTCCCTGAGGGTCCCTGAGGGTCCCTGAGGGTCCCTGAGGGATCTCGAGGGTCCCTGAGGGTCCCTGAGGGATCTCGGGGGTCTCTGAGGGTCCCTGAGGGGTCCCTAAGGGTCTCTGAGGGTCCCTGAGGGGTCTCGGGGGTCCCTGAGGGGTCCCGGGGGTCCCTGAGGGGTCTCGGGGGTCTCTGAGGGTCTCTCGGGGGTCTCTGAGGGTCTCTGAGGGTCTCTGAGGGTCCCTGAGGGTCTCTGAGGGGTCTCTGAGGGTCTCTGAGGGTCTCTGAGGGTCTCTGAGGGGTCTCTGAGGGTCCCTGAGGGTCTCTGAGGGGTCCCTGAGGGGTCCCTGAGGGTCTCTGAGGGTCTCTGAGGGTTTTTGAGGGGTCCCTGAGGGTCTCTGAGGGTCTCTGAGGGTCCCTGAGGGTCTCTGAGGGATCTCGGGGGTCTCTGAGGGTCTCTCGGGGGTCTCTGAGGGTCCCTGAGGGTCTCTGAGGGTCTCTGAGGGTCTCTGAGGGTCCCTGAGGGTCTCTGAGGGTCTCTGAGGGTCCCTGAGGGGTCTCGGGGTTCTCTGAGGGGTCCCTGAGGGTCCCTGAGGGTCCCTGACGGTCTCTGAGGGTCCCTGAGGAGTCTCTGAGGGTCTCTGAGGGTCCCTGAGGGTCTCTGAGGGTCCCTGAGGGTCTCTGAGGGTCTCTGAGGGGTCCCTGAGGGTCCCTGAGGGGTCTCTGAGGGTCCCTGAGGGTCCCTGAGGGTCTCTGAGGGTCTCTGAGGGTCTCTGAGGGTCTCTGAGGGTCCCTGATGGATCTCGGGGGTCCCTGAGGGATCTCGGGGGTCTCTGAGGGTCCCTGAGGGTCCCTGAGTGTCCCTGAGGGTCCCTGAGGGTCTCTGAGGGGTCTCTGAGGGTCTCTGAGGGTCCCTGAGGGTCCCTGAGGGTCTCTGAGGGGTCTCTGAGGGGTCTCTGAGGGGTCCCTGAGGGTCTCTGAGGGTCTCTGAGGGGTCCCTGAGGGTCTCTGAGGGTCTCTGAGGTTCCCTGAGGGTCCCTGAGGGTCTCTGAGGGTCTCTGAGGGTCTCTGAGGGTCTCTGAGGGTCCCTGAGGGATCTCGGGGGTCTCTGAGGGGTCCCTGAGGGTCCCTGTGGGGTCCCTGAGGGTCTCTGAGGGTCTCTGAGGGTCTCTGAGGGATCTCGGGGGTCTCTGAGGGTCTCTGAGGGTCCCTGAGGGTCCCTGAGGGTCCCTGAGGGTCTCTGAGGGTCTCTGAGGGATCTCGGGGGTCTCTGAGGGGTCCCTGAGGGTCCCTGAGGGTCTCTGAGGGTCTCTGAGGGTCTCTGAGGGGTCCCTGAGGGTCTCTGAGGGTCCCTGAGGGTCTCTGAGGGTCCCGGGGGTCTCTGAGGGTCTCTGAGGGTCCCTGAGGGTCTCTGAGGGTCTCTGAGGGTCTCTGAGGGGTCCCTGAGGGTCTCTGAGGGTCCCTGAGGGTCTCTGAGGGTCCCTGAGGGTCTCTGAGGGTCCCTGAGGGATCTCGGGGGTCTCTGAGGGTCTCTGAGGGACGGGCCCGTAACCGCCGCCCCGCGCGGTCCCCGCCGCCGTTGCCGGTACCGTGTCGGGGGTCGCCACCCAGCGAGCGTCGCCATGAGGGGGCAGCAGGAGGAGGAGGAGGAGGAGGAAGGGGAGGAAGGGGAGGAGGAAGGGGAAGGGAAAAGGAAACGGGAAAAGGAAAAAGGGGAAAAGCGGCGGCCGCGCCCGCCCCGCGCCCATCGCGGCCCCTTTAAGAGGCGCTGTGAGGGGGTGGGCGGGGCTTGTTCTTAAAGCGGCGATGGCACCTGGGGGGGCCTTAAAGGGGCAACGGCCGAGTGGGGCCCGCGGGCGGGAAAATCCAATTAAAGTGAAATCAATTAATTATTGGGAATAAAGAGGTTTGATCGGTCTGCGGATTGATCGATCGATTTAGGATTGTTCGATTGATTTTGGGTTTGATCGGTCTGCGGATTGATCGATCGATTTAGGATTGATCGATCGATTTTGGGTTCGATCGGTTTGGGGACTGATCGATCGATTTCGGGTTTGATCGGTTTGGGGATTGATTGGTTTGGGGATTGATCCATCGATTTTGGGTTTCATCGGTTTGGGGATTGATCAATCGATTTAGGATTGATCGATTGATTTCGGGTTTGATCGGTCTGCGGATTGATCGATCGATTTAGGATTAAACGATTGATTTCGGGTTTCATCAGTTTTGGGATTGATTGATCGATTTTGGGTTTGATCGGTTTGGGGATTGATCGGTTTGGGGACTGATCGATTGATTTTGGGTTTGATTGCTTTGGGGATTGATTGGTTTGGGGATTGACCAATCGATTTTGGGTTTGATCAGTTTAGGGATTGATTGGTTTGGGGATTGATCCATTGATTTCGGGTTTCGTCGGTTTGGGGATTAATCACTTTGTGGTTTGATTGATTTGGGGATTTATCAATTGACTTGGGATTTGATCAATTGATTTGGGGTTTATTGATTAATTTGGGGATCAATCGATTTGGGGTTTGATCACTTAGTTTGGGGATTGAGCGATCGATTTCGGGTTTGATCAATTTCGGGTTTGATCGATTGCAGGTTTGATCAGCTTGGGAATTGATCACTTAGTTTGGGGATTGAGCGATCGATTTCGGGATTGATCAATTTTGGGTTTGATTGATTGCAGGTTTGATCATTTTAGGAATTGATCAATCAGTTTGGGGATTGAGCGATCGATTTCGGGATTGATCGATTGCAGGTTTGATCAGTTTGGGGACTGATCAATCGGTTTGGGGATTGATCGGTCTGGGGTTTATTGATTTTATTGATTTCTGGTTTGATTGATTTTTATCTGACTGATTTCGAATTCATTGATTTTGGTTTTATCAATTTCGGTTTCATTGATTTTATTGAATTTTGGATTTATTGATCTCTCAAATACTTCGGGTTTATTGATTTTGGGGTTTGATTTTATTTTATTTTTGGTTTTATTGCACTCGGCCAAAGTGGGCGTGGTCATCTAGCCCTTAGCCCCGCCCCCAATGGGCGTGGTCAGCCGTGGCCACGCCCCCGTGCAGAAATTTGGGGCGACTTCCTCAGGCAGGTCCGGTCAGAGGTCAAAGGTCAGAGGTCGGGGTCACGGCTCAGCCAATCGCAGCAGGGGACCCGCGGGGGTCGGGACGCTGCGGGGCAGAGGGGTCAGAGGTCACTGGGGGGTCGCTCAGGGGTCAGGGGTCACTCAGGGGTTAGGGGTCAGGGAGGGGTCACTGAGGGGTTAGGGGTCAGTGAGGGATCAGGGGTCACTGAGGGGTCACTGAGGGGTCAGGGGTCACTCGGGCATCACTCAGGGTCAGGAGTCACTAAGGGGTCACTCAGGGGTCAGGGGTCACGCAAAGGTCACTCAGGGCCCCTCCCCCAGCAGGTTGTGCAGCAGGAACAGGACCCCCGGGGGTCACTGAGGGGTCAAGGGTCACTGAGGGGTCACTGAGGGGTCACTGAGGGGTCAGGGGTCACGGAGGGGTCAGGGGTCAGTCAGGGTCACCAAGGGGTCAGTGAGGGGTCACTTGGGGTCACCAAGGCATCACTCAGGGGTCACTCAGGGGTCAGGGGTCACACAGAGGTCACTGCAGGTCGTGCAGCAGGAACTGGACCCCAGGGGTCAGTGAGGGGTCAGGGGTCACTGAGGGGTCACTGAGGGGTCAGTGAGGGGTCACCGAGGGGTCAGGGGTCATACCTTTGCAGCCGCCCCTCCCCCAGCAGGTCGTGCAGCAGGAAGGGGACCCCCGGGGTCAGTGAGGGGTCAGTGAGGGGTCAGGGGTCACCGAGGGGTCAGGGGTCATACCTCAGGAGCCGCCCCTCCCCCAGCAGGTCGTGCAGCAGGAACGGGACCCCCAGGGGTCAGGGGTCAGTGAGAGGTCAGTGAGGGGTCAGGGGTCAGTGAGGGGTCACCGAGGGGTCAGGGGTCACTGAGGGGTCACCGAGGGGTCAGGGGTCGTACCTGAGCAGCCGCCCCTCCCCCAGGAGGTCGTGCAGCAGGAAGGGGACATGAGGGGTCAGTGAGGGGTCAGGGGTCAGTGAGGGGTCACCGAGGGGTCAGGGGTCATACCTCACGAGCCGCCCCTCCCCCAGCAGGTCGTGCAGCAGGAACGGGACCCCCAGGGCGGCCCCCGGGGGGGTTTTGCCCCCCCCCAGCGCCCCCTGGGGCAGCTGCCGCAGCCGCGCCCGACGGAACAGAGACAGCAGCGCCCGGCGGCCTGGGGTCACACGGGGTCACCGGGGTTAGACGGGGTCACACGGGGTCACGGGGGGTCACACGGGTCACACAGAGTCACACGGGGTCACAGGGGTCACATGGGGTCACTGAGGGGTCCCAGGGGTCCCGTGGGTGTCCCTGCAGGTCACTGAAGGGTCCTGTGGGTGTCCCATGGGTGTCCCAGAGGTCACTGAGGGGGTCACAGAGGGGTCCCGTGGGTGTCCCGGGGGTCCTGTGGGTGCCTCAGAGGTCACTGAGAGGTCCCATGGGTGTCCCATGGGTGTCCCGGGGGTGTCCCGGGGGTCCCGTGGGTGTCCCATTGTTGTCCTGGGGGTCCCATGGGTCACTGAGAGGTCCCGTGGGTGTCCCATGGGTGCCCCGGGGGTCCCGTGGGTCACTGAGGGGTCAGGAGGTCACTGACAGGTCCTGTGGGTGTCCCGTGGGTGTCTCGGGGGCTCCCATGGGTGTCCCGTGGGTCACTGAGGGGTCCCATGGGTGTCCCATGGGTGCCCCAGGGGTCACTGAGGGGTCCCGTGGGTGTCCCGTGGGAGCCCCGGGGGTCCCGTGGGTGCTCACCGCGCAGCAGCGCCCGCACGAAGCGCCCGATCCCCGGAACTGCCACCCACCAACTGCCGACGTCACGTACAGTCAGGAGCCCCACGGCCACCAACTGCCTGAGGGGACATTGGGGACATTGGGGACATTGGGGACATTGGGGACATTGGGGACACTGGGGACATTGGGGACATGGGGGGGACATGGGGGACATTGGGGACATTGGGGGGACATTGGGGACATCGGGGACAGTGGGGACATTGGGGGGACACGGCTCAGCGCCGGGGACACCCCCGGCCACCCCAAACCCACCCCAGGTGTCCCAAATCCCACCCCAATGTCCCCAAATCCCATCTTGATGTCCCCAGTGCCACCCCAGTGTCCCCAAACCCACCGTGGGTGTCCCCATACCCATCCAGGTGTCCCCAAATCCCACCCCAATGTCCCCAAATCCCATCCTGATGTCCCCAGTGCCACCCCAGTGTCCTGGTGACCCCTGTGTGACCCCTGTGTGACCCCTGTGTGTCCCCAGTGTCCCCAAACCCACCCCAGGTGTCCCCAAATCCCACCCTGGGTGTCCCCGAACCCATTCTGAGTGTCCCCAAGCCCATCTTAATGTCCCCAAATCCCATCTTGATGTCCCCAGTGCCACCCCAGTGTCCCCAGTACCACCCCAGTGTCCCCAAACCCACCCTGGGTGTCCCCAGCCCATCCCTGTGACCCCTGGCTGACCCCTGGGTGACCCCTGGGTGTCCCCCGGGTGTCCCCAGTGTCCCTCACGTGACGTCACTGTCCCCAAAGCCCATCTCCCTCATGTCCCTCTCTCCGTAGCTCAGCTCCCGTGACCCCATGTCCCCGTGTCCCTGTGACCCCTGGCTGACCCCATGACCCCTGGGTGACCCCTGGGTGACCCCTGGGTGTCCCAAATCCCACCGTGGGTGTCCCCAAACCCATCCTGGTGTCCCCAAACCCACCCCAGGTGTCCCTAGTACCACCATGGGTGTCCCCAAGCTCATCTTGATGTCCCCAAACCCATCCTGGTGTCCCCAAATCCCACCCTGGGTGTCCCCAAACCCATTCTGAGTGTCCCCAAACCCATCCTGAGTGTCCCCAAGCCCATTCTGAGTGTCCCCAAGCCCATCTTAATGTCCCCAAACCCTATCCTGATGTCCCCAAACCCCATCCAGGTGTCCCCAGTGCCACCCCGGTGTCCCCAAATCCCACCCTGGGTGTCCCCAAACCCACCCTGGGTGTCCCCAAGCTCATCTTGATGTCCCCAAACCCACCCTGGGTGTCCCCAAACCCATCCAGGTGTCCCCAAACCCCATCCTGATGTCCCCAAACCCCATCCTGATGTCCCCAAACCCCACCCCAGTGTCCCCAGTGCCACCCCAGGTGTCCCTAAACCCATCCTGAGTGTCCCCAAGCCCATCTTGATGTCCCCAAACCCACCCCAGTGTCCCCAAATCCCATCTTGATGTCCCCAAACCCACCCTGGGTGTCCCCAAACCCCATCCTGGTGTCCCCAAATCCCACCCCAGTGTCCTGGTGACCCCTGGGTGTCCCTCACGTGACGTCACTGTCCCCAAATCCCATCTCCCTCATGTCCCTCTCTCCGTAGCTCAGCTCCTGTGTCCCCATGTCCCTGTGACCCTGTGGTGTCCCTGTGACCCCGTGACCCCTGGGTGACCCCTGGGTGTCCCCAGTGTCCCAAATCCCAGCCCAGTGTCCCCAAATCCCATCTTGATGTCCCCAGTGCCACCCCAGTGTCCCCAAACCCACCCCAGTGTCACAAATCCCACCCCAGGTGTCCCCAAACCCATCCTGGTGTCCCCATACCCCACCTTGGGTGTACCCAGTGCCACCCCAGGCATCCCAAATCCCATCCTGATGTCCCCAAACCCACCCCAGGTGTCCCTAGTACCACCCTGGGTGTCCCCAAGCTTATCTTGATGTCTCCAAACCCACCCTGAGTGTCCCAAATCCCACCCTGGGTGTCCCCAAACCCCATCCAGGTGTCCCCAAATCCCACCCCCGTGACCCCTGTGTGACCCCAGTGTCCCTCACGTGATGTCACTGTCCCCAAATCCCATCTCCCTCATGTCCCTCTCTCCGTAGCTCAGCTCCTGTGACCCCTGGGTGACCCCGTGACCCCTGTGTGTCCCCAGAGTCCCTCACGTGACGTCACTGTCCCCAAATCCCATCTCCCTCATGTCCCGCTCTCCGTAGCTCAGCTCCCGTGACCCCTGGCTGACCCCGTGACCCCAGTGTGACCCCTGGGTGTCCCTCACGTGACGTCACTGTCCCCAAATCCCATCTCCCTCATGTCCCGCTCTCCGTAGCTCAGCTCCCGTGTCCCCATGTCCCCATGTCCCTGTGGTGTCCCTGTGACCCCGTGACCCCTGGGTGACCCCCGGGTGTCCCCAGTGTCCCTCACGTGACGTCGCTGTCCCCAAATCCCATGTCCCTCATGTCCCTCTCTCCGTAGCTCAGCTCCGGCCGCGCCGCCACCGCCACCTCCAGAAATCGCCGAACCAGCGGCTCCCGCGGGGACCCGGCCACGGCCGCCAGCGCCTGAAACGGGGGTCAGGGGTCACACAGGGGTCACACAGGGGTCACCCAGGGGTCACCCGGGGGTCAGGGGTCACTGGGGGTCCGGGGGCACTGGGGGTCACCAGCGGCTCCCGCGGGGACCCGGACACGGCTGCCAGTGCCTAAAACAGGGGTCAGAGGTCACCCAGGGGTCAGGGGGCACCCAGGGGTCACACGGGGGTCACCAGGGGTCACCCAGGGGTCACATGGGGGTCAGGGGGCACCCAGGGGTCACCAGCGGCTCCCAGGGGTCCTGGACACGGCCGCCAGTGCCTAAAACAGGGGTCAGAGGTCACCCAGGGGTCATCCAGGGGTCACCCAGGGGTCACCCGGGGGTCACCCAGGGGTCAGGGGGCACCAAGGGTCACCAGCGGCTCCCGGGGTGACCCGGCCACGGCCGCCAGCGCCTGAAACGGGGGTCAGAGGTCACACAGGGGTCACCCAGGGGTCACCCATGGGTCACCGGGGGTCACACAGGGGTCAGGGGTCACCCAGGGGTCACCAGCGGCTCCCGCGGGGACCCGGCCACGGCCGCCAGCGCCTGGAACGGGGTCAGGGGTCACACAGGGGTCACCCAAGGGTCACCCAGGGGTCAGGGGGTCACTGTGGGGGTCACCAGGGGGTCACCAGGAGATCATTAAAGGGGTCAAGGGGTCACTGGGGAGGACTGGGGGGTCAGGGGGTCGCTGTGGGGGTCACCAGGGGGTCACTGTGGGGGTCACCAGGAGGTCATTGAGGGGGGTCAGGGGGTCACTAGAGGGTCACCAGGGGGGTCAGGGGGTCACCAGGGGGGTTAGAGGATCACCAGGGGGGTCAGGGGGTCACCAGGAGGTCAGGGTGTCACCAGGGGGGTCAGAGGGTCACCAGGGGGGTCAGGGGGTCACCACAGGGTCAAGGGGTCACTGGGAGGGTCATTGAGGGATCATTGGGGGGGTCAGGGGGTCACCAGGGGGTCAGAGGGTCACCAGGGGGTCACTGAGGGGGTCAGGGGGTCACTGTGGGGGGGGGTCAGAAGGTCACCAGGAGGGTCAGGGGGTCACCAGGGGGTCACTGGGGAGGTCATTGAAGGGGTCAGGGGGTCACTGGGGAGGACTGGGGGGTCAGGGGGTCGGTCAGGTCACCAGGGGGGTCAAAGGATCACTGGGGGGGGTCAAAGGGTCACTGGGGGGGGGTCAGGGGGTCACTAGAGGGTCACCAGGGGGTCACCAGGGGGATCAGGGAGGGGTCAGGAGGTCACTAGAGGGTCACCAGGGGGGTCAGAGGGTCACCAGGGGGGTCAGGGGGATCACTGTGGGGGGTCAGGGGGTCACTGGAGAGGACTGGGGGATCAGGGGGTCACGGGGGGGGGTCTGGGGGTCACCAGGGGGTCAAGGGGTCACTGTGGGTGTCACCAGGAGGTCATTGAGGGGGTCAGAGGATCACCAAAGTGGTCACCAGTGGGTCAGGAGGTCACTAGAGGGTCACCAAGGGGGGCCAGGGCATCACCAGGGGGGTCAGGGGGTCACTGTGGGGGGTCAGAGGGTCACTGGGGAGGACTGGGGGATCAGGGGGTCACGGTGGGGGTCCGGGGTCACTGCTGGGGTCCCCCCGTGCCCCCCGTGCCCCGTTGCGGTACCTTCTCGCGGTAGAGCCGCGCACTGACCACCCCGAGCGCGTCGGGGCCCAGCCCCAAGTGCAGCAGCCGCAGCCGCCCCTCAGCACGGAGCCGCTCCTGGGGGAACACGGGGGTCTGGGGGGTCCTGGGGGGTCTGGGGGGTCCTGGGGCTGCATTTGGGGGGTCCTGGGGGTCCTGGGGGGTCCTGGGGGGACTTGGGGGCTCCTGGGGGGGGTGTTTGGGGGGTCCTGGAGGTTCCCAGGGCTGCGACTGGGGGGTCCTGGGGGGGCTTTGGGGGGTCCTGGGGGGGTCCTGGGGGGTTCTGGGCTGGGTTTGGGGGGTCCTGGGGGGTCTGGGGGGTCCTGGGGGCTCCTGGGGTGGTCCTGGGGAGTCCTGGGGGGTTCTTGGGGGGTTCTGGGGGATCCTGGGGGATCCTGGGGGGGCGTTTGGGGGGTCCCAGGGGCCTCTCGGTGTTCCCGGTGGGGTTCCCAGTGGGGGTCCCAATGTTCCCGTTGGGGGTCCCAGGGGCATCCCGGTGTTCCTGGTGTATCCCCTTGGTGTTCCCGGTGTTCCCTGTGGGGGTCCCAGGGGCATTCCCGTTGTTCCTGTTGTTCCCGGTGGGGGTCCCGGTGGCCATCCCGGGGTCCCATTGGGGGTCCCGTTGTTCCCGGTGTTCCCGGCAGGGGTCCCCGGGGCATTCCCGTGTTCCCATTGTTCCCGTTGGGGGTCCCGCTGTTCCCGTTGGTGTCCCGTTGTTCCCAGTGTTCCCAGTGGGGGTCCCGGTGGGGGTCCCAGGGGCATCCCGGTGTTCCTGTTGTTCCCGTAGGGGGTCCTGGTGTATCCTGTTGGGGGTCCCAGGGCCATCCCAGGATCCCATTGGGGGTCCCGGTGGCATCCCGGGGTCCCATTGGGGGTCCCGTTGTTCCCGGTGTTCCCAGTGGGGTTTCCGTAGGGGGTCCCAGTGTTCCCGTTAGGGGTCCCGGTGTTCCCGGTGGGGGTCCCAGGGGCATCCTGGTGTATCCTGGTGGGGGTCCCGGTGTTCCCGGTGTTCCCGGTGGGGGTCCTGGTGGGGGTCCCGGGGGCATTCCCGTGTTCCCGTTGGGGTTCCCATTGTTCCCATTGGTGTTCCCATTGTTCCCGGTGTTCCCAGTGGGGTTCCCGTAGGGGGTCCCATTGTTCCCGGTGGGGGTCCCGGTGTTCCCGGTGTTCCCAGTGGGGGTCCTGGGGGCATCCCATTGTTCCCGGTGGGGTCCTGGGGGGTCTCGGGGGCATCCCGGTGTATCCCCTTGGTGTTCCTGGTGTTCCCGGTGGGGGTCCCAGTATTCCCCGCGGGGGTCCCAGGGGCATTCCCATGTTCCCGGTGTTCCTGTTGGTGTCCCATTGGTGTTCCCAGTGTTCCCGTTGGGGTTCCCAGGGCCATCCCAGGATCCTGGTGGGGGTCCCGGGGGCATTCCCGTGTCCCTGTTGTTCCCAGTGTTCCCAGTGGGGGTCCCAGGGGCATCCCGGGGCTCCTGGTGTTCCCGGTGGGGGTCCTGGTGGGGGTCCCAGGGGCATTCCCGTGTTCCCATTGGGGGTCCTGCTGTTCCCGTTGGTGTTCCCAGTGTCCCCAGTGTGGGTCCCGGTGGGTCCCAGGAGCATTCCCGCTGTTCCCGTTGCTGTTCCCGGTGTATCCCGGTGCTGTTCCCGCTGCTGTCCCCGTCACTGTCCCCGTCCCTCACCAGGTGCCGGTCCACGGCGGTGCGGTCGGGCACGAGGCTGTACAGTTGGTGGCGCAGCAGCAGCGGCGGCAGCGCGTCCCCGAACAGGCGGCGCGGGAACAGCGCGGCCACGGCCCCGAGCGCCGCCTCCACCGCCGCGGGGCTGCCTGGGAACCGGGCACCGGAGCTCACCGGGAGCCACCGGGACCCACCGGGACCCACCGGGACCCACCGGGACCCACCGGGAGCTCACCGGGAGCCCACCGGGACCCCCCAGAACCCACCGGGACCCCCAAAACCCACCAAGACCCACCGGGGACTCACCGGGACCCCACCGGGAACCCACCGGGAGCTCACCGGGACCCACCGGGACCCCCAAAACCCACCGGGAAGCCCCGAAACCCACCGGGAGCCACCGGAACCCCACCGGGAACCCACCGGGAGCTCACCAGGAGCCCACCGGGAACTCACCGGGAGCCCCAAAACCCACCGGGAGCTCACCGGGAGCCCACCGGGACCCCTGAAACCCACCAGGACCCCCGAAACCCACCGGGACCCCACCGGGACCCCCCAAATTCCACCCAGACCCACCGGGAGCCCACCGGGACCCACCGGGACCCCCAAAACCCACCGGGAACTCACCGGGACCCACCGGGAACCCCCAAAACCCACCGGGACCCCACCGGGACCCACCGGGAACTCACCGGGACCCCACCGGGAGCCCACCGGGAGCCACCGGGACCCCCAAAACCCACCGGGAACCCACCGGAACCCCACCGGGAACTCACCGGGACCTCACCGGGACCCACCGGGACTTCACCGGGGACTCACCGGGGACTCACCGGGACCCCCAGAACCCACCGGGAGCTCACCGGGGACTCACCGGGAGCCCAACGGGAGCTCACCAGGAACCCACCGGGGACTCACCGGGGACTCACCGGGACCCCCAAAACCCACCAGGACCCCCGAAACCCACCGGGACCCCACCGGGAACCCACCGGGAGCCCACCAGGGACTCACCGGGACCCACTGGGGACTCACCAGGACCCCCGAAACCCACCGGGACCCCACCGGGAGCCCACCGGGACCCCCAAAACCCACCGGGACCCACCGGGAGCTCACCGGGACCCCCGAAACCCACCGGGACCCACCGGGAGCTCACCGGGACCCCCGAAACCCACCGGGACCCACCGGGACCCACCGGGAACCCCAGAACCCACCGGACCCCACCGGGACCCCCAAAACCCACCGGGAGCCCACCGGGACTCACCAGGGACTCACCGGGACCCACCGGGACCCCCAAAACCCACCGGACCCCACCGGGACCCACCGGGAACCCCAGAACCCACCGGGACCCACCGGGAGCTCACCGGGACCCACCGGGACCCACTGGGGACTCACCAGGACCCCCAAAACCCACCGGGGACTCACCGGGAGCTCACCAGGACCCCCGAAACCCACCGGGACCCCCAAAACCCACCGGGACCCACCAGGAACCCACCGGGACCCCCAAAACCCACCGGGACCCCACCGGGAACCCACCGGGACCCACCGGGGACTCACCGGGACCCCCGAAACCCACCGGGAGCCACCGGGAGCTCACCGGGACCCCCCAGAACTCACCGGGACCCCCGGGAGCCCACCGGGACCCCACCGGGAGCCCCAAAACCCACCGGGACCCCACCAGAACCCCCCAAAACCCACCGGGAGCTCACCAGGAGCCCACCGGGACCCCCAGAACCCACCGGGACCCCCCAAAACCCACCGGGAGCCCACCGGGACCAACCGGGACCCACCGGGAACCCCCAGAACTCACCGGGAACCCACCAGGACCCCCGAAACCCACCGGGAGCTCACCGGGACCCCCAAAACCCACCGGGACCCCACCGGGACCCACCGGGACCCCACCGGGACCCCCCAAATTCCACCCGCAGCCCCGCACACACAACCGGGACCCCCCCACACTCCTCCCGGTACCCCCTCAGGTCCCCCCGGTACCGTCGGGCCGCGGAGGCTCCGCCGGCAGCCCCGGGCGGCGCCGTTTGGCCTCGAGGGCGGCGCGGGGGTCCTCGAGGCGGCGGCGGCGGCGGCTCATGGGGGGCTCGGGGGTTTTGGGGGGTTTTGGGGGAGTTTGGGGGGCTCCGGTTCCCGGAACGGTTCCGGTGCCGCCGTCTGCGCGCGGTGATGACGTCACTGCGACGCGGCGCCCGAGGGTGACGTCAGAGCGCGGCGCGCGGTGATGGCGGCGGGCGGAACCATTCGGAGCGGACGGGGGGGGGGGTTGAAGAGGAGGTGAATGGACTGATCCATGTGAGATTGTGGGGGGAGCTTGGACAGAGCCACAGGAGTCTGTGGGGGGTTTGGAAGGAACCACAGGAGTCTGTGGGGGGTTTGGAAGGAACCACAGGAGTCTGTGGGGGAGTTGGAAGGAACCACAGGGGTTTGTGGGGGGGTTTGGAAGGAACCACAGGAGTCTGTGAGGGGTTTGGAAGGAACCACAGGAGTCTGGGGGGGGGGTTTGGAGTCTGTGGGGGGGTTGGACAGAACCATACAGATCTGTGGGGGGGTTGGACAGAACCACAGGGTTTGTGGGGGGGTTGGAAGGAACCACAGGAGTCTGGGGGGGGGTTTGGAAGGAACCACAGGAATCTGTGGGGGGGTTGGACAGAACCAAACAGATCTGTGGGGGGGTTGGAAGGAACCACACGGGGGGGGGTTTGGAAGGAACCACAGGAGTCTGTGGGGGGGTTTGGAAGGAACCACAGGAGTCTGTGGGGGGTTTGGAAGGAACCACAGGGGTTTGGGGGGGGATTGGACAGAACCACACGAGTCTGTGGGGGGTTTGGAAGGAACCACAGGAGTCTGTGGGGGGCTTTGGAAGGAACCACACGAGTCTGTGGGGGGGTTTGGAAGGAACCACGGGGGTTTGGGGGGCTCGGCGCCCCCCGTGTCCCCCATTTATTGCGTGTACAGGCTGGCGGCGAAGACGATGTCGCGTTTGATCATGGCGGCGGCCGCCTCCATCTTGGCGCCCAGCGCGGGGTCCCCCACGAGGCGCGCGGCGTGGCGCAGCTCCCGCAGCAGCTCCTCCAGGCGCTGCATGGCCCGCACCACCGTCCCCTCCTGCACCGGCGCCCGGCGCGCGATCTCCGCAAAGGGCTGCGGACACGGCGGGGACACAGGGGACAGAGGGGTGTTGGGGACACTGGGGACATTGGGGACATTGGGGGCATTGGGGGGATGTGGGGACATTGGGGACATTGGGGACATTGGGGACATTGGATATGGGGACACTGGGTACGGGGACATTTGGGGACAGCAGTGGGGACACTGGGGACATTGGGGGGATTGGGGACATTGGGGACACTGGGGACATTGGGGACATTGGGGACATTGGGGACATCAGGGGTGTTGGGGACAGTCAGGACATTGGGGACATGGGAACAGTGGGGACATCAGGGATATTTGGGACATTGGGGACATTTGGGACATTGGGGACATTGGGGGATATGGGGACGTTGGGGGGATTGGGGACATTTGGGGACACTGGGGACATTGGGGACGTTTGGGGGATGTGGGGATGTTGGGGGATATGGGGACATTGGGGACATTGGGGACATTGAGGACATTGGGGGACACTGGGGTCATTGGGGACATTGGGGTGATGTGGGGACATTGGGGACATTTGGGACATTTGGGACATTGGGGACAAGAGGGATGTTTGGGACAATGGGGACATTGGGGACATTGGGGACATTGGGGACTTTGGGGGTGTTGGGGACATTGGGGACACTGGGGACATTGGGGACATTGGGGGGACATCGGGGACGAGGGGGATGTTTGGGACATTGGGGGACATTGGGGACATTGGGGATATGGGGACATTGGGGACATTCAGGGTGTTGGGGACATTTGGGACATTGGGGACGAGAGGGATGTTTGGGACAATGCGGACATTGGGGACATTGGGGGGACATTGGGGACATTGGGGACATTGGGGTGATGTGGGGACATTGGGGACACATTTGGGACATTGGGGACATCGAGGTGACACGGGGACATTGGGGGTGTTGGGGGATGTTTGGGACATTGGGGACATTGGGGGGATTGGGGACATTGGGGACATTGGGGACGAGGGGGACATTGGGGACATTGGGGACGTTGGGGACGTTGGGGACGTTGGGGACATTGGGGACATTGGGGATATTGGGGTGTTGGGGACATCAGAGACATTGGGGACATTGGGGACATCACGGACACTGGGGGATATGGGGACATTGGGGACATTGGGGACAGTGGGGACACAATGGGGACATTGAGGACATTGGGGACATCGGGGGGACATTGGGGGATATGGGGACATTGGGGACATTGGGGACATTGGGGACATTGGGGGGACATTGGGGGATATGGGGATGTTGGGAACATTGGGGACATTGGGGACATTTGGGACATTGGGGACATTGGGGACATTGGGGGTGTCGGGGACATTGGGGACACTGGGGGGATTGGGGACATTGGGGACATTGGGGATGTTGGGGATGTTGGGGTGATGTGGGGACATTTGGGACATTGGGGACATGAAAGACGTTGGGGACATCGAGGTGACACGGGGGTGTTGGGGACACTGGGGTCGGGGGCTGTCTCAGGGGTGTCCTGGGGTATCCTGGGGGTTTTGGGGGGGGTCCCAGAGGGGTTTTTGGGGGTCCCAGAGTGAATTTTGGGGGTCCCAGGGGTTTCGGGGGTCTCACCATGCCCCTGGCCCACTCGTAGACCACCTGCACGAGGCTGAAGCCGAACTGGGCCACGAACTCGTCGGGGCCGGGCCCGAGGCCGCGCTGCTGCTCCAGCCGGGCCACGCGGGCGGCGACGGCGCGGAGGCGCTCCAGGGCCTGGGGGGGCAGGGAGCCCAAAATCACCCAAAATTACCCCAAAATTACAGCAAAATTACCCCAAAATTACCCCCAAAATTACCCCAAAATTACCCCAAAATTATCCCAAAATTACCCCAAAAAATTACCCCAAAATTACCCCAAAATCCCTCCCCAACCGCTCCAGGGCCTGGGGGGTCAGGGACCCCAAAATCCCCAAAAATTACCCCAAAATTACCCCAAAATCCCTCCCCAACCGTTCCAGGGCCTGGGGGTGTCAGGGAGCCCAAAATCCCCCAAAATCCTCCCCAATATCCCCCCCGAAAGTGCCCCAAAACCCCCAATATCCCCCCAAACCCCCCAATATCCTCCCCAAATCACCCAATATCCCCCCAAACCGCCCAATATCCCCCCAAACCCCCCAATATCCCCCCCAAAACGCCCCCAACCCCCCCAAAACGCCCCCAAACCCCCCAATATCCCCACAAAGTGCCCCAAACCCCCCAAATTCCACCCCAAACCCCCCAATATCTCCCCCAAACCCCCCAATATCCCCCCCAAATCACCCAATATCCCCCCAAAATCCCCCAATATCCCCCCCAAACCCCCCAATATCCCACCCAAACACCCCAATATCACCCCAAAATGCCCCAAACCCCCCAATATCCCCCTCAAAACCACCCAAATTCCACCCCAAACCCCCCAGTATCCACCCCAAACCCCCCAATATCCCCCCTAAACCCCATAATACCCCCCCAAACCACCTAATACTCCCCCCAAAGCGCCCCAAACCCCCCAGTATCTCCCCCAAACCCCCCAATATCCACCCCAAACCCTCCATATCCCCCCCAAAGTGCCCCAATATCCCCCCATAGTGCCCCAATATACCCCAATATCCCCCCAAAGTGCCCAATATCCACCCCAAACCCCCCAATACCTCCCCCAAAGTGCCCCAAACCCCCCAATACCCCCCCCAAACCCCCCAATATCCCCCCCAAACCCCCTAGTTTTCCCCCCAAAACGCCGCAAAACCCCCCAAATTCCACCCCAAACCCCCCAATACCCCCCCAAACCCCCCAAATTCCACCCGAAACTCCCCAATACCCCCCCCAAAATGCCCATTATCCACCCCAAACCCCCCCAAATCCCCCAATATCCCCCCAAACCACCCAATATCCCCCCAATATCCTCCCGAAATCCCCCAATATCCCCCCAAGCCCCCCAATATGCCCCCCAAAGTGCCCCAATATCCCCCCAAAGTGCCCCAAACTCCCCAATATCCCCCCCAAACCCCCCAATATCCCCCAAACCCCCCAATATCCACCCCAAACTCCCCAATATCCTCCACAAAGTGCCCCAAACCCCCCAATATACCCCCCAAACACCCCAAAGTGCCCCAAAACCCCCCAATATCCCCCCCAAAGTGCCCCAAACCCCCCCAAATTCCACCCCAAACTCCCCAATATCCCCCCAAAGTGCCCCAATATCCTCCCCAAACCCCCCCATACCCCCCCCAAACCGCCCCCCACCCCCCGTGTCCCCCCACCTGCGCCAGGGCGGGGGGCAGCCCCTCGGGCAGGGGGTCCCCGCGGCCGGGGGTGACGAGGCAGGAGAGCAGGGCCGCGCTCTCCTCGGGCCGCAGCGGGCTCAGCGCGTTGCTCAGCAGCAGCTCCGTCAGCACCAGCTGCTCCGTGCTCAGCAGGGCGGCCACGCGGCCCCCCAGGGCCACCGCGCCCCCCGAGACGTACCCCAGCTCCGACAGCACCTGGGGGGGGGTCACAGGGGTTATGGGGGGGTCATGGGGGTCATAGGGGGGTCACAGGGGCCACGCGGCCCCCCAGAGCCACAATGCCCCCCGAGATGTACCCCAGCTCCGACAGCACCTGGGGGGGGGACACGGGGGTTATGGGGGGTCATAGGGGTCATAGGGGGGTCACAGGGGTCATAGGGGTCATAGGGGGGTCACAGCGGCCACGCGGCCCCCCAGCGCCACAGTGCCCCCCGAGACGTACCCCAGCTCCGACAGCACCTGGGGAGGGGGTCACAGGGGTTATGGGGGTCACAGGGGTCACACGGGGGCCACATGGGGGTTACAGGGGTCATAGGGGGGTCACAGGAGTCTCACGGGGGTCTCACAGGGGTCACAGGGGTCACATGGGGGGTCATAGGGGTTACACGGGGGTCACAGGGGTCAGGGGACAGCCCCCAAAGCCACAGTGCCCCCCGAAATGTACCCCAGCTCCGACAGCACCTGGGGGGGGGACACGGGGGTTATGGGGGGTCATGGGGGGGGTCATAGGGGTCACACGGGGGGCACAGGGGTCTCACGGGGGTCTCACGGGGGTCACACGGGTCACAGGGGGGTCACAGGGGTCAGGGGACAGCCCCAAGGCCACAGCGCCCCCCGAGATGTACCCCAGCTCCGACAGCACCTGGGGAGGGGGCACGGGGGTCACACGGGGTCATAGGGGGGTCACAGGGGTCACACGGGGGTCACAGGGGTCACACGGGGGTCACACGGGGTCACACAGGGTCACACGGGGTCACAGGAGGGTCACAGGGGTCAGGGGACAGCCCCCAGGGCCACCGTGCCCCCCGAGACGTACCCCAGCTCCGACAGCACCTGGGGAGGGTCACACGGGGTCACAGGGGGTCACACGGGGGTCACATGGGGGTCACACGGGGGTCACAGGGGTCACAGGGGTCAGGGGACAGCCCCCAAAGCCACAGTGCCCCCCGAGACGTACCCCAGCTCCGACAGCACCTGGGGAGGGGGTCACGGGGTCACGGGGGTTATGGGGGTCACAGGGGGGGCATAGGGGGGTCACAAGGGTCACACGGGGGTCACAGGGGTCAGGGGACAGCCCAGGACAGGGGACAGCCCCCAGGGTCACTGCATCCTGGGGCTGTTTTGGGGGGTCCCAGGGGCAGTTTTGGGGTCCCAGGGGCAGTTTTGGGGCTCCGGGTGCAGTTTGGGGGTCCCAGGGGCAGTTTGGGGTCCCAGGGGCAGTTTTGGGGTTCTGGGTGCAGTTTGGAGCATCCCAGGGGCAGTTTTGGGGTGTCCTGGTGCAGTTTTGGGGTGTCCCGGGGCAGTTTTGGGGTCCCTGGGGCAGTTTTGGGGTCCCACCTCGAGGCGCTGGTGGTACTCGGGCAGCAGCAGCAGCGACTTGGGGGATGTGGGGTGATCCCAGGGGCTGTTTTTGGGGGATGTGGGGGGGTCCCAGGGGCAGTTTGGGGGGTCCCAGGGTCAGTTTTGGGGTCCCAGGGTCAGTTTTGGGGTGTCCTGTGGCAGTTTGGGGGGGTCCCAGGGGCAGTTTTGGGGCTCCGGGTGCAGTTTGGAGCGTCCATGGGGCAGTTTGGGGTGTCCTGGGGCAGTTTTGGGGTCCCAGGGGCAGTTTTGGGGTCCAGGGGCAGTTTTGGGGTGTCCTGGGGCAGTTGGGGGTCCCAGGGGCAGTTTGGAGCATCCCAGGGTCAGTTTTGGGGTCCCAGGGGCAGTTTTGGGGTCCCAGGGGCAGTTTGGGGGGTCCCCGGGGCAGTTTTGGGGTCCCAGGGGCAGTTTTTGTCCCCACCTCGAGGCGCTGGTGGTACTCGGGCAGCAGCAGCAGCGACTCGGGGGATGTGGGGTGATCCCAGGGGCAGTTTTTGGGGGGGGGGGTGACCCCAGGGGCAGTTCGGGGGTCTCAGGGTCAGTTTTGGGGGTCTCAGGGTCAGTTTTGGGGGTCCCAGGGGCAGTTTTGGGGGGTCCCAGGGGCAGTTTTGGGGTCCCAGGGGCAGTTTTGGGGTCCCAGGGTCAGTTTTGGGGGTCCCAGGGGCAGCTTTGGGGTCCCAGGGGCAGTTTTTGAGGATCCCAGAGGCAGTTTTGGGGTCCCAGGGTCAGTTTTGGGGTCCCAGGGGCAGTTTTGGGGTGTCCTGGTGCACTTTTGGGTGATCCCAGGGGCAGTTTTGGGGTCCCTGGGGCAGTTTCGGGGTCCCAGGGGCAGTCTGGGGGTCCCAGGGGCAGTTTTGGGGCGCCCAGGGGCAGTTTTTGGGGGTCCCGGGGCAGTTTTGGGGGTCCCAGGGGCAGTTTTGGGGCGCCCAGGGCAGTTTTTGGCCCCACCTCGAGGCGCTGGTGGTACTCGGGCAGCAGCAGCAGCGACTTGGGGGATGTGGGGTGATCCCAGGGGCAGTTTTGGGGGTCCCAGGGGCAGTTTTGGGTCGCCCTGGGGCAGTTTTGGGGGGTCCTGGGGCAGTTTTGGGGGTCCCAGGGGCAGTTTTTGGGGTCCCAGGGGCAGTTTTGGGGCGCCCAGGGGCAGTTTGGGGTCCCACCTCGAGGCGCTGGTGGTACTCGGGCAGCAGCAGCAGCGACTCGGGGGATGTGGGGTGATCCCAGGGGCAGTTTGGGGGGTCCCAGGGGCAGTTTCGGGGTGTCCTGGGGCAGTTTTGGGGTGTCCCAGGGTCAGTTTTGGGATCCCAGGGGCAGTTTTGGGGTCCCAGGGGCAGTTTTTGTCCCCACCTCGAGGCGCTGGTGGTACTCGGGCAGCAGCAGCAGCGACTTGGGGGATGTGGGGTGATCCCAGGGGCAGTTTTGGGGGGTCCCAGGGGCAGTTTTGGGGGTCCCTGGGGCAGTTTTGGGTCCCAGGGGCAGTTTTGGGGCGCCCAGGGGCAGTTTTGGGGGTCCCAGGGGCAGTTTTGGGGTTCTGGGTCAGTTTTGGGGGGTCCCAGGGGCCGTTTTGAGATCCCAGAGGCAGTTTTGGTGGTGGAAGGGGGGTCCCTTGGCAGTTTTGGGGGGTCCCTTGGCAGTTTTGGGGGGTCCCAGGGGCAGTTTGGGGGTCCCAGGGTCAGTTTCGGGGTCCCAGGGGCAGTTTTTGGGGGTCCCAGGGGCAGTTTTTGTCCCCACCTCGAGGCGCTGGTGGTACTCGGGCAGCAGCAGCAGCGACTGGTCCGACAGTTGGAACTGCAGCTCCTCCAGCTGCTCCAGCAGCTCCTGCCGCGCGGCGAACTGGGCGTACTGGGAGAGGCGCGGGCGGGTTTAGGGGGACCCCAAAACCCCAAAAACCCCAAAAACCACCCCAAAACCCACCCCAAAATCCCCGTTGGTACCTGTCGGGCGAAGCGGGGGCTGTGCACGCAGCCGAAGCCGCGCAGCGCCGCGCTCAGCCCGCGCAGCTCCGCCGCCGCCGCCGCCGCCGCGGGGTCCCGGCCCGGGGGCACCCCAAAAGCCTCCAGCAGGGGCACGGGGGTCGCGCCCCCCGACAGACGGGACAGCTCCTGCAGGACCCCCCCGAGACCCCCGCCCGGGGGCGGAGAGCTGCGGGAAAGGGGGGGACCCCAAAATCCATGGGGGGGACAGAGAAATCCATGGGGGGACCCCGAAATCCATGGGGGGGACAGAGAAATTCATGGGGGGACCCCAAAATCCATGGGGGGAAGAGAGAAAATAATGGGGGCACCCCAAAATCCATGGGGGGGACACTGAAATTCATGGGGGGACACTGAAATTCATGGGGGGACACTGAAATCCATCGGGGGGACACTGAAATCCATGAGGGGGACAGAGAAATTCATGGGGGGACACTGAAATTTATGGGGGGGACAGAGAAATTCATGGGGGGACACTGAAATTTATGGGGGGACACTGAAATTAATGGGGGGACACTGAAATTTATGGGGGGACAGAGAAATTCATGGGGGGACAGAGAAATTCATGGGGGGACACAGAAATTCATGGGGGGACACTGAAATTTATGGGGGGACAGAGAAATTTATGGGGGGACACTGAAATTCATGGGGGGACCCCAAAATCCATGGGGGGACAGAGAAATTCATGGGGGGACCCCAAAATCCATGGGGGAACAGAGAAATTCATGGGGGGACAGAGAAATTCATGCGGGGACAGAGAAATTCATGGGGGGGACAGAGAAATTTATGGGGGGACCCCGAAATTCATGGGGGGACACAGAAATTCCCTCCCCACGGCCCAAATTTCCCCCCCAGGACCCCAATTTCCACCCCCAGAACCCCAAATCCCCCCCAGGACCCCAATTTCCCCCACCCAAGACCCCAAATCCCCATCAAGACCCCAAATTCTCCCCCCAGGACCCCAAATCCTCCCCCAAGACCCCAAATTTCCCCCCCCAGGACCCCAAATCCCCCCCAAGACCCCAAATTTTCCCCCCCCCAGGACCCCAAATTTCCCCCCCAGAACCCCAAATCCCCCCCAGGACCCCAATCTCCCCCCCCCCAAGACCCCAAATTTCCCCCCCAGGACCCCAAATTTTCTCCCCAGGACCCCAAATTTCCCCCCCAAGACCCCAAATCCCCCCCAGGACCCCAAATTTCCCCCCAGGACCCCAATTTCCCCCCCAGGACCCCAATATCTCCCCCAGGACCCCAATTTCCCCCCCCAGAACCCCAAATTCTCCCCCCAGAACCCCAAATTCTCCCCCCAGGACCCCAAATCCCCCCCAAGACCCCAAATTTTCTCCCCAGGACCCCAATTTCCCCCACTCAGGACCCCAATCTCCCCCCCCAGGACCCCTATTTCCCCCATCCAAGACCCCAATTTCCCCCACCCAAGACCCCAAATCCCCATCAAGACCCCAAATTTCCCCCCCAGGACCCCAAATTCTCCCCCCAGGACCCCAATTTTCCCCCCAGGACCCCAATTTCCCCCACCCAAGACCCCAAATCCCTATCAAGACCCCAAATTTCCCCCCCAGGACCCCAAATTCTCCCTCCAGGACTCCAATCTTCCCTTCCAGGACCCCAAATTTCCCCCCCAAGACCCCAAATTTTCCCCCCAGGACCCCAATTTCCCCCACCCAAGACCCCAAATCCCCATCAAGACCCCAAATTCCCTCCCCCAGGACCCCAAATTTCCCCCCCAGCACCCCAATTTCCCCCCCAGGACCCCCGTACCGGGGCCGGGGTCCCCTCGGGGGGCGCAGCTCCTGCAGCAGAATCTCGGGGTTCACCCGCAGGGTCTTGGCCGTGACCCCCACGATGTCCTCGGGGCGCAGCTGCTCCAGGCAGTGCCCGGGGGGGCCTGGGGGGGACCCCAAAACCTTCAGGGACCCCCCCAAAAACCACTGGAAGGACCCTCAGGTGCCCGAGGAGGGACCTGGTGACCCCCAAATCTGTCAGGGTCACCCCCTAAAGTGAACCAGCAACCCCAAATCACTCTTAGGGACCCCCCCAAAATGGACTCAGGTACTCGTGGACCCACCCAAAATCCCCAGAGACCCCCTTAAACCCCCCCAAAATTTCCAGAGATCCCCTTAAACCCCCCCAAAATCCCCAGAGATGCCCTTAAATCCCCACAAAATCACAAGAGACCCCCTTAAACACCCACAAAATCACAAGAGACCCCCTTAAACCACCCCAAAATCCCCAGAGACCCCCTTAAACTCCCCCAAAATCCCCAGAGATGCCCTTAAACCCCCACAAAATCACAAGAGACCCCCTTAAACCCACCCAAAATATGCAGAGACCCCCTCAAACCCCTCCAAAATCCCCATAGACCCCCTAAAACCCCCCCAAAATCCCCAGAGACCCCCTTAAACCCACCCAAAATTTCCAGAGACCCCCTTAAACCCACCCAAAATATGCAGAGACCCCCTTAAACCCACCCAAAATCCCCAGAGATCCCCTTAAACCCCCCAAAATCACAAGAGACCCCCTTAAACCCACCCAAAATCACAAGAGACCCCCTTAAACCCACCCAAAATCACGAGACACCCTTAAACCTCCCCAAAATCTCCACAGACCCCCTTAAACCCCCCCAAAATCCCCAGAGATGCCCTTAAACACCCACAAAATCTCCAGAGACCCCCTTAAACCCCTCCAAAATATGCAGAGACCCCCTTAAACCCCCCCAAAATCCCCATAGACCCCCTTAAACCCCACCAAAATTTCCAGAGACCCCCTTAAACCCCCCCAAAATCCACATAGACCCCCTTAAACCCCCCCAAAATCACAAGAGACCCCCTTAAACCCACCCAAAATCCCCATAGACCCCCTTAAACCCCACCAAAATCCCCATAGACCCCCTTAAACCCACCCAAAATCCCCATAGACCCCCTTAAACCCACCCAAAATCACAAGAGACCCCCTTAAACCCCCCCAAAATCACAAGAGACCCCCTTAAACCCACCCAAAATATGCAGAGACCCCCTTAAACCCACCAAAATCACAAGAGACCCCCTTAAACCCACCCAAAATCCACATAGACCCCCTTAAACCCACCCAAAATCTCCAGAGATCCCCTTAAACCCACCAAAATCACAAGAGACCCCCTTAAACCCACCCAAAATCCACATAGACCCCCTTAAACCCACCCAAAATCTCCAGAGATCCCCTTAAACCCCCCCCAAAATATGCAGAGACCCCCTTAAACCCCCCCAAAATCCCCATAGACCCCCTTAAACCCCCCAAAATCACAAGAGACCCCCTTAAACCCCCCCAAAATCCCCATAGACCCCCTTAAACCCCACCAAAATATGCAGAGACCCCCTTAAACCCCCCCAAAATCACGAGACACCCTTAAACCCCCCAAAATCCACATAGATCCCCTTAAACCCCCCCCAAATCCCCATAGACCCCCTTAAACCCCCCCAAAATCTCCAGAGATCCCCTTAAACCCACCCAAAATCCCCAGAGATGCCCTTAAACCCCCCAAAATCCCCATAGACCCCCTTAAAGCCCCCCAAAATATGCAGAGACCCCCCTTAAACCCCCCCAAAATCCCCTGAGACCCCCTTAAACCCCCCCAAAATCCTCAGAGACCCCCTTAAACCCACCCAAAATCCCCATAGACCCCCTTAAACCCCACCAAAATATGCAGAGACCCCCTTAAACCCACCCAAAATATGCAGAGACCCCCTTAAACCCACCCAAAATCACAAGAGACCCCCTTAAACCCACCCAAAATATGCAGAGACCCCCTTAAACCCACCCAAAATCCCCAGAGACCCCCTTAAACCCACCCAAAATATGCAGAGACCCCCCTAAACCCACCCAAAATATGCAGAGATCCCCTTAAACCCCCCCAAAATCACAAGAGACCCCCTCAAACCCCTCCAAAATCACAAGAGACCCCCTTAAACCCCACCAAAATTTCCAGAGACCCCCTTAAACCCACCCAAAATATGCAGAGACCCCCTTAAAGCCCCCCAGAATCCACATAGACCCCCCCTTAAACCCCCCAAAATCACAAGAGACCCCCTTAAACCCACCCAAAATCCCCAGAGACCCCCTTAAATCCCCCAAAAATCCATCCTGGGGATCCCTAAACCCCCTCCCAGAGGGTCCCAAACATCGGGAGCCCCCTCCCCATTTTTGGGGCGCAGACCCTCGGGCAGGAAGAGGCGGGTGAGCAGCAGGTCCTCGGGGTAGGGCACGTCCGGGGGGGGCTCAGGGGGGGCTCCCCCATCCTCGGGGGGCTTCTCGCTCAGCACCAGCGTGGTGAAGGTGCGGCCGGAGCCCCCGGAGCTCACCTGGAATTTGGGGGGGTTTGGGGGGAGTTTGGGGGGAGTTTTGGGGGAGTTTGGGGGGAGATTTGGGGGGTTCTGGGGGGAGTTTGGGGGTTATGGGGGAGTTCGGGGTGTTCTGGGGGTTCTGGGGGGAGTTTGGGGGAGTTTTGAGGGCAGTTTGGGGGGGTTTGGGGGGTTTTGGGGGGGTTCGGGGTGTTCTGGGGGGGTTGGGGGGAGTTTGGGGAAGTTTTGGGGGTTCTGGGGGGTTTGGGGGGGTTAGGGGAGGAGAATTTGGGGAGTTTTGGGGGGTTCTGGGGGGGTTTAGGGGAGTTCTGGGGGGGTTTTGGGGGAGTTTGGGGGGTTCTGGGGGGGTTTGGGGGGAGTTTTGGGGGTGTTTGGGGAGTTCTGGGGGGGGGTTGGGGGGGTTAGGGGAGGAGAATTTGGGGAGTTTTGGGGGGTTCTGGGGGGGCTTGGGGGAGTTTGGGGGCAGTCTGGGGGGTTTGGGGGAGTTTGGGGTGTTCTGGGGGGGTTTGGGGGGAGTTTGGGGGAAGTTTTGGGGGTGTTGGGGGAGTTTGGGGGCAGTTTGGGGGGTTCTGGGGGAGTTCGGGGGGTTCTGGGGGAGTTTTGGGGGGAGTTTTGGGGGTGTTTGGGGAGTTTTGGGGAGTTCGGGGGTTCTGGGGGGGTTGGGGGGAGTTTTGGGGGGAGTTTGGGGGGTTTTGGGGGAGTTCAGGGGGTTCTGGGGGGGTTTGGGGGAGTTTGGGGGCAGTTTGGGGGGTTTTGGGGGAGTTCGGGGTGTTCTGGGGGGGGTTGGGGGAGTTTTGGGGGGAGTTTGGGGGAGTTTTGGGGGGAGTTTTGGGGGAAGTTTTGGGGAGTTTTGGAGGAGTTTGGGGGAGTTTGGGGGGGTTTGGGGGCAGTTTGGGGAGTTTTGGGGGAGTTTGGGGGGTTATGGGGGAGTTCGGGGGATTCTGGGGGGGTTGGGGGGAGTTTTGGGGGAAGTTTTGGGGGGTTTGGGGGGGTTTGGGGGGTTCTGGGGGGGTTTTGGGGGAGTTCGGTGTGTTCTGGGGGGAGTTTTGGGGGTGTTTGGGGAGTTTTGGGGGAGTTCGGGGGGTTCTGGGGGGGTTTGAGGGGTTAGGGGAGGAGAATTTGGGGAGTTTTGGGGGGTTCTGGGGGGTTGGGGGGGGTTTTGGGGCAGTTTGGGGGATTATGGGGGAGTTTGGGGGGTTCTGGGGGGGTTGGGGGGAGTTTTGGGGGGAGTTTTGGGGGTTTTGGGGGTGTTTTGGGGGGAGTTTTGGGGTGTTTTGGGGTGTTCGGGGTTTTGAGGTACCTGCAGCACCAGCCCCAGCGCGTTGCGGTGATTTGGGGGTTTGGGGGGTGATTTGGGGGGTTTTTGGGTGTGTTTTGGGGGTGTTTTGGGGTGTTTTGGGAGGTTATTTTGGGGTGTTTTGGGGATATATTGGGGCTGTTTTGGGGGGGGGTTTTGGGAGGTTGCTTTGGGGGTGTTTTGGGGGTGTTTTGGGGATGTTTTGGGGTGTTTTGGGGTGTTTGGGGTTTGGGGGTACCTGCAGCACCAGCCCCAGCACGTTGCGGTGATTTGGGAGGTTATTTTGGGGATATTTTGGGGTTTTTGGGGGGTGTTTGGGGTTTGGGGGTACCTGCAGCACCAGCCCCAGCGCGTTGCGGTGTTTTGGGAGGTTATTTTGGGATATTTTGGGGATATTTTGGGGGTTTGGGGTGTTTTGGGTACCTGCAGCACCAGCCCCAGCACGTTGCGGTGATTTGGGAGGATGTTTTGGGGTATTTTGGGGTGTTTTGGGGTGTTTTGGGGTGTTTTGGGTACCTGCAGCACCAGCCCCAGCGCGTTGCGGTGATTTGGGGGGTGTTTTGGGGGGTTTGGGGGGTGTTTTGGGGGTTTTTGGGGGGTGTTTGGGGGTGTTTTGGGGTTTGGGGTACCTGCAGCACCAGCCCCAGCGCGTTGCGGTGTTTTGGGAGGTTGTTTTGGGGATATTTTGGGGGTGTTTGGGGTGTTTGGGGTACCTGCAGCACCAGCCCCAGCGCGTTGCGGTGATTTGGGAGGTTATTTTGGGGATATTTTGGGGTGTTTTGGGGTGTTTGGGGTGTTTGGGGTACCTGCAGCACCAGCCCCAGCGCGTTGCGGTGATTTGGGAGGTTGTTTTGGGGATATTTTGGGGTGTTTTGGGTGTTTGGGGGGTTTGGGGTACCTGCAGCACCAGCCCCAGCGCGTTGCGGTGATTTGGGGGGTGTTTTGGGGGCTGTTTTGGGGATATTTTGGGGTGTTTTGGGGTGTTTTGGGGGTGTTTTGGGGTGTTTTGGGGCTGTTTTGGGGCTGTTTTGGGGTGTTTTGGGGTGTTTGGGGTACCTGCAGCACCAGCCCCAGCGCGTTGCGGTGATTTGGGAGGTGTTTTGGGGATATTTTGGGGATATTTTGGGGTGTTTTGGGGTGTTTGGGTACCTGCAGCACCAGCCCCAGCGCGTTGCGGTGATTTGGGAGGTTATTTTGGGGATATTTTGGGGTGTTTGGGTACCTGCAGCACCAGCCCCAGCGCGTTGCGGTGTCTCGCCGTGCACACCACCACCACCCGGCCCGGTGCCAGCACCCGCTGCCCCCCCGGCTGCGCCAGGCACCGCTGCGGACCCCCGACCCCGTCAGGGGCACTGGGACCCCCCAAATGTCCCCTGTCCCCCCAAATGTCCCCTGTTCCCCCCAAATGTCCCCTGTCCCCCCCAAAATGTCCCCTGTTCCCCCCCCCAGTGTCCCCTGTCCCCCCAAATGTCCCCTGTTGCCCCCAAATGTCCCCTGGCCCGCCAAATGTCCCATGTCCCCCCCCAAATGTCCCCTGTCCCCCCCCAGTGTCCCCTGTTCCCCCAGTGTCCCTGTCCCCCCCCAGTGTCCCTGTCCCCCCCCAAATGTCCCCTGTCCCCCCCCAAAATGTCCCCTGTCCCCCTCAGGTGTCCCCCGAGGTGGCCCCGTCACCCCAAAATTTCCCCATCCTTCCCAGGTGTCTCCTGTGCCCCCCAGGTGTCCCCCAGGTGTCCCCCACAGGTGTCCCTGTACCCCCAAAAATGTCCCCATCCCCCCCAAATGTCCCCTGTCCCCCCTCAGGTGTCCCCCACAGGTGTCCCTGTCCCCCCCCAAATGTCCCTGTCCCCCCAAAATGTCCCCGTCTCCCCCAGTGTCCCTGTCCCCCCCACCTCAGGTGTCCCCCAAAATGTCCCCGTGCCCCCCCAAATGTCCCCGTGCCCCCAGGTGTCCGTGTCCCCCCCCAAACATCCCCGTGCCCCCCAAACGTCCCCATGCCCCTCGCCCCACCTGCAGCACGGCGCGGGCTCGGCGCAGCGCCACCACGGCCTGGTGGTACTGGGGCAGGTCCCCGGTGTCCCCTCCGGTGTCCCCAGTGTCCCCTCCGCTGTCCCCAGTGTCCCCTCCGCTGTCCCCCGCTGTCCCCTCGGGGTCCCCCAGCGCCGCCAGCGCCTCCCTGAGGGCGGCCACGCGACGTGTCTGCGCCTGGGGGGACGGGGGGTCTCATCCCAGTGCTCCCAGTTCATACTGGGGCAGCCCAGTGTCCTTACTGGGGTGTCCCAGTGCTCCCAGTTCATACTGGGACAGCCCAGTGTCCTTACTGAGACATCCCAGTGCTCCCAGTTCATACTGGGGCAGCCCAGTGTCCTTACTGGAGCAGCCCAGTGTCCTTACTGGGACATCCCAGTGCTCCCAGTTCATACTGGGACAGCCCAGTGTCCTTACTGGGACATCCCAGTGCTCCCAGTTCATACTGGGGACAGCCCAGTGTCCTTACTGGGGCGTCCCAGTGCTCCCAGTTCATACTGGGGCAGCCCAGTGTCCTTACTGGGACATCCCAGTGCTCCCAGTTCATACTGGGGACAGCCCAGTGTCCTTACTGGGGCGTCCCAGTGCTCCCAGTTCATACTGGGGCAGCCCAGTGTCCTTACTGGGACATCCCAGTGCTCCCAGTTCATACTGGGGACAGCCCAGTGTCCTTACTGGGGCGTCCCAGTGCTCCCAGTTCATACTGGGACAGCCCAGTGTCCTTACTGGGACAGCCCAGTGTCCTTACTGGGACAGCCCAGTGCTCCCAGTTCATACTGGGAGCTCCCCAGTGTCCTTACTGGGGTGTCCCAGTGCTCCCAGTTCATACTGGGGCAGCCCAGTGTCCTTACTGGGACAGCCCAGTGTCCTTACTGGGGTGTCCCAGTGTCCTTACTGGGGTGTCCCAGTGCTCCCAGTTCATACTGGGGACAGCCCAGTGTCCTTACTGGAGCAGCCCAGTGTCCTTACTGGGGTGTCCCAGTGCTCCCAGTTCATACTGGGGACAGCCCAGTGTCCTTACTGGAGCTCCCCAGTGTCCTTACTGGGGTGTCCCAGTGCTCCCAGTGCCCCCCAGTCCATTCCAGTCTGCTCCCAGTCTCCCCCAATCCATCCCAGTCTGCTCCCAGTTCCCCCCAGTCCTTCCCAGTCTGCTCCCAGTGCCCTCCAGTCTGCTCCCAGTTCATCCCAGTCCATCCCAGTACCCTCCAGTCTGCTCCCAGTCCGTCCCAGTCTGCTCCCAGTCCGTCCCAGTCTGCTCCCAGTGCCCCCCAGTCTGCTCCCAGTGCCCTCCAGTCCATCCCAGTGTCCCCCATTCTGCTCCCAGTGCCCCCCAGTCTGCTCCCAGTGCCCCCCAGTCCATCCCAGCGCCCCCCAGTCCATCCCAGTGCCCCCCAGTCTGCTCCCAGTCCATCCCAGTCTGCTCCCAGTGCCCTCCAGTCTGCTCCCAGTTCATCCCAGTCCATCCCAGTGCCCCCCAGTCTGCTCCCAGTGCCCTCCAGTCCATCCCAGTGCCCTCCAGTCTGCTCCCAGTCCATCCCAGTCTGCTCCCAGTGCCCTCCCAGTCCATCCTAGTGTCCCCCAGTCTGCTCCCAGTGCCCCCCAGTCTGCTCCCAGTTCCCCCCAGTCCTTCCCAGTCTGCTCCCAGTTCATCCCAGTCCATCCCAGTACCCTCCAGTCTGCTCCCAGTCCGTCCCAGTCGCTCCCAGTGCCCCCCAGTCCATCCCAGTGCCCTCCAGTCTGCTCCCAGTGCCCCCCAGTGCCCTCCAGTCTGCTCCCAGTCCGTCCCAGTGCCCCCCAGTGCCCCCCAGTCCATCCAGTGCCCTCCAGTCTGCTCCCAGTCCATCCAAGTTTGCTCCCAGTTCATCCCAGTCCATCCCAGTGCCCCCCAGTCCATCCCAGTACCCTCCAGTCTGCTCCCAGTCCATCCCAGTCCCTCCCAGTCCCTCCCAGTCCCCTCCCAGTGCCCCCCAGTCCCTCCCAGTCCCTCCCAGCAGCCAGGCTCACGGTGGTGTCGCGGCGCAGCGGGAACTCGGCGAAGCTGCGGCGCATCAGGTCGTGAGGGCGCAGGGCGGGGGCGCGCAGCAGCAGCAGGATCATGGGGTACGTCAGGCGGAACCGCGACTGCAGCGGCGACGGGCGGCCCTGGGGGGACACGGCGGTGCCACAGCGGTGACATGGCAATCACACACGGAGGTGACATGGCGGTGACACGGTGACACGAGTGGGGACATGGCGGTGACATGGCGGTGACATGGCAATCACACACGGAGGTGACATGGCGGTGACACGGTGACACGAGTGGGGACATGGCAGTGCCACGGCGGTGACACGGCAATCACACACGGAGGTGACATGGCGGTGACACGGTGACACGAGTGGGGACATGGCGGTGACGTGGCGGTGACATGGCAATCACACACGGAGGTGACATGGCAATGACACGGTGACACGAGTGTGGACATGGCGGTGACGTGGCGGTGACATGGCAATCACACACGGAGGTGACATGGCAATGACACGGTGACACGAGTGTGGACATGGTGGTGCCACGGCGGTGACATGGCAATCACACACGGAGGTGACATGGCGGTGACACGGTGACACGAGAGGGGACACGGCGGTGACATGGTGGTGACACACGGGTGGCGACATGGCGGCGATACACGAGTGGTGACACACAGGTCAGGGGGACATGGCGGTGCCACGGCGGTGACATGGCAATCACACACGGAGGTGACACGGCGGTGACATGGTGACACGAGTGGGGACATGGCGGTGACATGGCAATCACACACGGAGGTGACATGGCGGTGACACGGTGACACGAGTGTGGACATGGCGGTGCCACGGCGGTGACATGGCGATCACACACGGAGGTGACATGGCGGTGACACGGTGACACGAGTGGGGACATGGCGGTGACACGGTGACACGAGTGGGGACATGGCGGTGACATGGCGGTGACATGGCAATCACACACGGAGGTGACATGGCAGCGGCATGGCAGTCAAGTGGCAATGACATGGCGGTGACATGGTGACACGAGTGGGGACATGGCGGTGACATGGCGGTGACATGGCGGTGACATGGCGGTGGCATGGCGGTGACACACAGGTGGCAACATGGCGGCGATACACGAGTGGTGACATGACACACAGGTCAGGGGGACATGGCGGTGGCATGGCGGTGACATGGTGGTGACACACAGGTGGTGACACACAGGTGGTGACACACAGGTAGTGACACGGCAGCGCCATGGCAGCAACACGCCGAGCGCTCACCAGCATCATGCGGTGCAGGTCGGCCAGCTCGGGCACCGGCCCCTTGCAGAGGATGATGACGGTGCCGGTGGCGTCCAGCCCGCGGCGTCCCGCGCGCCCCGACATCTGCGTGTACTCACCTGGCGGGAGCAAAGGGACAGTGAGCTGCGGCAAGGTACTGTGCTTGTTTTCTGCTCACAAACACTGCTGGTTTTACACCCGTGTCTCCCACCATCTTCCTGTCACGTTTGCCACCATTTTCCCCTCACGTTTTCCCGCCCTTTTCCCCTCACATTTTCCCGCCCTTTTCCCCTCATGTTTTCCTGCCCTTTTTCCCGTGTGCTGCTCTTTTCCGCTCACGTTTTCCTGCCCTTTTTCCCATGTTCTGCTCTTTTCCCCTCACATTTTCCCGCCCTTTTCCCCTCATGTTTTCCTGCCCTTTTTTCCATGTTCTGCTCTTTTCCCCTCACATTTTCCCGCCCTTTTTCCCCCTCACGTTTTCCCGCCCTTTTTCCCCTCATGTTTTCCCGCCCTTTTTCCCCTCTCACGTTTTCCCACCCTTTTTCCCCTCACATTTTCCCGCCCTTTTCCCCTCATGTTTTCCTGCCCTTTTTTCCATGTTCTGCTCTTTTCCGCTCACATTTTCCCGCCCTTTTTCCCCCCTCACGTTTTCCCACCCTTTTTCCCCTCACATTTTCCCGCCCTTTTCCCCTCATGTTTTCCTGCCCTTTTTCCCATGTTCTGCTCTTTTCCCCTCACATTTTCCCGCCCTTTTCCTCTCACGTTTTCCCGCTCTTTTCCCCTCACATTTTCCTGCCCTTTTCCCCTCATGTTTTCCTGCCCTTTTTCCCCTCACGTTTTCCCGCCCTTTTTCCCCTCACGTTTTCCCGCCCTTTTCCCCTCATGTTTTCCTGCCCTTTTTCCCGTGTACTGCCCTTTTCCCCTCACATTTTCCCGCCCTTTTCCCCTCACAATTTCCCGCCCTTTTTCCCCTCACATTTTCCCGCTCTTTTTCCCCTCATGTTTTCCCGCCCATTTTCCCCTCACGTTTTCCCGCCCTTTTTCCCCTCACGTTTTCCCGCCCTTTTCCCCTCATGTTTTCCTGCCCTTTTTCCCGTGTACTGCCCTTTTCCCCTCACATTTTCCCGCCCTTTTCCCCTCACAATTTCCCGCCCTTTTTCCCCTCACATTTTCCCGCTCTTTTTCCCCTCATGTTTTCCCGCCCATTTTCCCCTCACGTTTTCCCGCCCTTTTTCCCCTCACGTTTTCCCGCCCTTTTCCCCTCATGTTTTCCTGCCCTTTTTCCCGTGTACTGCCCTTTTCCCCTCACATTTTCCCGCCCTTTTCCCCTCACAATTTCCCGCCCTTTTTCCCCTCACATTTTCCCGCTCTTTTTCCCCTCATGTTTTCCCGCCCATTTTCCCCTCACGTTTTCCCGCCCTTTTTCCCCTCACAATTTCCCGCCCTTTTTCCCCTCACATTTTCCCGCCCTTTTCCCCCCTCACGTTTTCCCGCCCTTTTGTTGCCCCTCACGTTTTCCCGCCCTTTTCCCCTCACATTTTCCCGCCCTTTTCCCCTCACATTTTCCCGCCCTTTTTCCCTCACATTTTCCCGCCCTTTTTCCCCCTCACATTTTCCTGCCTTTTTTCCCCTCATACTTTCCTGCCTTTTTCCCCCCTCACGTTTTCCCGCCCTTTTCCCCCTCACATTTTCCCGCCCTTTTCCCCTCACATTTTCCCGCCCTTTTTCCCCTCATGTTTTCTGCTCTTTTTCCCTCACATTTCCCATCCTTTCCTCCTCACATTTCCTGGTCTTTTCCCCTCATGTTTCCTGCTATTTTCTCCACGTGTTTCCCACCATTTTCCGTGTTTCCAGCCCATTTCCCTTCACCTTTCCCACATTTTTCCTTTCACATTTCCCACCATTTCCCCCTCACATTTCCTGCTGTTTTTTCCCTCATGTTTCTTCTCATTTTCCACTCACGTTTATCATTTTCCCCACATATTTATCACCATTTTCCTCTCACGTTTCTTGCAGTTTTCCCCTCACGTTTCTCACCTTTTTCCCATCACATTTCCCTATTTCCCTCACATTTTCCACCCTTTTCCCTTCACAATTCTCTATTTCTCTCACATTTCCCATCCTTTTCCCTTCACATTCCTCTATTTCCCTCACATTCCCCACCTTTTCCCCCTCACATTTCTCACGCTTTCCCCCCACATTTCCTGCCACAATTCCAACTCTATTCACCCCCTTCTCCCTGAATCTCTTCTCCCATATTCCCACCTTCTCTCAATCCCATTTTCCTGGTTTTTCTCTCCGCTTCCCCACCCTTTCCCCCTGGCACTCTCGGCCCCTTTTCCACCCCGGTGGCACAGGGGGGACGCGGCACCGAGCCCCCCACACTGCCCCACACCCGGCAGGAGGTCCCTGAAGCTGTTCCCGTCGTGTTTGCGGATGGAGTCGAAGACGACGGTCCGAGCCGGCATGTTCACCCCCATGGCGAACGTCTCGGTGGCAAACAGCACCTGAGGCAGGCATGGGGCAGATTGGGGCAGGTGTGGGGCAGATATGGTGCTGGGGGTGTCGCTATGGGGCAGGTTTGGGGCACATACAGACCAGGGATTTGGGGCAGGTTTGGGGCATCTACAGACCAGGGATTTGGGGCAGGTATGGGGCAGATATGGGGCATCTACAGACCAGGGATTTGGGGCAGGTATGGGGCAGCTTTGCAGCCGGTTTGGGGCAGGTTTGGGGCAGGTACAGACCAGGGGTTTGGGGCAGGTTTGGGGCACGTACAGACCAGGGGTTTGGGGCAGATTTGGGGCACATACAGACCAGGGATTTGGGGCAGGTTTGGGGCAGATATGGGGCATCTACAGACCAGGGGTTTGGGGCAGGTTTGGGGCATCTACAGACCAGGGGTTTGGGGCAGGTTTGGGGCAAGTTTGGGACAAGTTTGGAGCAGGTTTGGGGCAGGTTTGAGGCAAATTTGGGGCAGCTTTGGGGTAGGTTTGGGGCACATACAGACCAGGGATTTGGGGCAGGTTTGGGGCACGTACAGACCAGGGATTTGGGGCAGGTTTGGGGCACGTACAGACCAGGGGTTTGGGGCAGGTTTGGGGCAGCTTTGCAGCCGGTTTGGGGCAGGTTTGGGGCAGGTACAGACCAGGGATTTGGGGCAGGTTTGGGGCAGGTTTGGGGCAGGTTTGAGGCAAATTTGGGGCAGCTTTGGGGCAGGTTTGGGGCACATACAGACCAGGGATTTGGGGCAGGTTTGGGGCAGGTATGGGGCACATACAGACCAGGGATTTGGGGCAGGTTTGGGGCAGGTTTGGGGCACGTACAGACCAGGGATTTGGGGCAGGTTTGGGGCAGATTTGGGGCATGCTTGGGGCAGGTTTGAGGCACATTTGGGGCAGGTTTGTGGCAGGTTTGGGGCAACTTTAGGGCTGTCAGTGTCGCCATGGGGCAGAGCCCCGTGCCCCACACGCAGCCCCTGTCCCCACACACCTTGACCAGCCCTTGGCTGAAGAGCATCTCCACGATCTCCTTGAGCAGGGGCAGCACCCCGCCATGGTGGACACCGATGCCGCGCTGCAGCAGCTCCGACAGCTGCAGCACCTGGAACGGGGATCGGGAATGTGGAGGGAACGGGGAACGGGAATTGGGAATGTGGAGAGAACGGGGAACGGGGAACGGGAATGTGGAGGGAACGGGGATTGGGAATGTGGAGGGAACGGGGAACGGGAATGTGGAGGGAACGGGGATTGGGAATGTGGAGGGAACGGGGAACGGGAATGTGGAGGGAACGGGGAACGGGAATGTGGAGGGAACGGGGATTGGGAATGTGGAGGGAACGGGGAACGGGAATGTGGAGGGAACGGGGAACGGGGATTGGGAATGTGGAGGGAACGGGGAACGGGGAACGGGAATGTGGAGGGAACGGGGAACGGGAATGTGGAGGGAACGGGGAACGGGAATGTGGAGGGAACGGGGAACGGGAATGTGGAGGGAACGGGGAACGGGGATTGGGAATGTGGAGGGAACGGGGATTGGGAATGTGGAGGGAACGGGGATTGGGAATGTGGAGGGAACGGGGAACGGGAATGTGGAGGGAACGGGGAACGGGAATGTGGAGGGAACGGGGAACGGGGATTGGGAATGTGGAGGGAACGGGGATTGGGAATGTGGAGGGAACGGGGAACGGGGATTGGGAATGTGGAGGGAACGGGGAACGGGAATGTGGAGGGAACGGGGAACAGGGAACGGGAATGTGGAGGGAACGGGGAACGGGGATTGGGAATGTGGAGGGAACGGGGATTGGGAATGTGGAGGGAACGGGGAACGGGGAACGGGAATGTGGAGGGAACGGGGAACGGGAATGTGGAGGGAACGGGGAACAGGGAACGGGAATGTGGAGGGAACGGGGAACGGGGATTGGGAATGTGGAGGGAACGGGGAATGGGAATGTGGAGGGAACGGGGAACGGGGATGGGGAATGTGGAGGGAACGGGGAACGGGGAACGGGAATGTGGAGGGAACGGGGATTGGGAATGTGGAGGGAACGGGGAACGGGGATGGGGAATGTGGAGGGAACGGGGAACGGGGAACGGGAATGTGGAGGGAACGGGGATTGGGAATGTGGAGGGAACGGGGAACGGGGAACGGGAATGTGGAGGGAACGGGGAATGGGAATGTGGAGGGAACGGGGAACGGGGAACGGGAATGTGGAGGGAACGGGGATTGGGAATGTGGAGGGAACGGGGAACGCGGGTTGGGAATGTGGAGGGAACGGGGATCGGGAATGTGGAGGGAACGGGGAACGGGAATGTGGAGGGAACGGGGAAAGAAAATACGGAGGGGGAACATGGAGGGGGAATGTGGAAAGAACATGGAGGGAACATGGAGGGAGAACACGGAAGGAAAATGGAGAGAAAATATGGAGGGGGAACGTGGAGGGAACATGGAGGGGGAATATGGAGGGGGGATATGGAGGGGGAATATGGAAAAAACATGGAAATATGGAATATGGAAAGAATATGGAAAGAATATGGAAAGAATATGGAGGGAACATGGAGGGAACATGGAGGGGGAATATGGAGGGAGAACACAGAAGGAACATGGAGAGAAAAAATGGAGGGGGAACGTGGAGAGGGAATGTGGAGGGAACATGGAAGGGGAATATGGAGGGGGAATATGGAGGGGGAATGTGGAAAGAACATGGAGGGAACATGGAGGGAGAACACGGAAGGAACATGGAAAGAAAATATGGAGGGGGAACGTGGAGAGGGAATGTGGAGGGAACATGGAAGGGGAATATGGAGGGGGAATATGGAGGGGGAATGTGGAAAGAACATGGAGGGAACATGGAGGGAGAACACGGAAGGAACATGGAAAGAAAATATGGAGGGGGGACGTGGAGAGTGAACGTGCAGGGAGAACATGGAGGGAGAACATAGAGGGAACACGGAGAGAAAATATGGAGGGGGAACATGGAGGGGGAACATAGAAAAACCATGGAGGGAACATGGAAAAACCATGGAGGGAACACGGAGAAAACACGGAGAGAACACGGAGAGAACACGGGGAGGAACAAAGAGGCGCCAGGAGCACCCCACACCCCCCAGCCTCAATGGGCAGCCCTCACCCACAGCACCCACCCCTCACACCTTTACTGCCGCCCGCCTCCGCGTCCCAAACCCGCCTTTTTTCCCCCCAAAACCCCGCAGGGCTCGCACCTGGGGCAGGCGTCGGTCGGAGCCGCGCAGCCGGGCCAGGCAGCGGGTCAGGAACTGGCGCACCCGGGCGCGCTCGGGGCCGTCCAGCAGCTCCAGCGAGCCCAGCGCCGCCGCCTGCTCCTCGCAGCGGCCCCGCGAGAAGGTGAAGGTGACGGCGGGCAGCAGCTCCCGCTCCCGCAGGGTCTCCAGCAGGGACAGCCAGACCCCCCGCTCCTGAGGGGATCGAATGGGGTGAGTGGGACCCCTGGGGCAGACCCCAGCCCCTCTGGATCACCCCAGGACCCCCAGAACAGCCCTCAGCCCCTCTGGATCTCCCCAGGACCCCCAGAACAGCCCCCAGCCCCTCAGGGACCCCCGGGATAGCCCCCAGCCCCTCAGAGACCCCCAGAACAGCCCCCAGCCCCTCGGAGACCCCCAGAACAGCCCCCAGCCCCTCAGAGACCCCCGGGACAGCCCCCAGCCCCTCAGAGACCCCCAGAACAGCCCCCAGCCCCTCGGAGACCCCCCAGAACAGCCCCCAGCCCCTCAGAGACCCCCGGGATAGCACCCAGCCCCTCAGAGACCCCCAGAACTGCCCCCAGCCCCTCAGAGACCGCTGTGATAGCACCCAGCGCCTCAGAGACCCCCAGGATAGCACCCAGCCCCTCAGAGACCCCCAGAACAGCACCCAGCCCCTCTGGATCTCCCCAGGACCCCCAGAACAGCTCCCATCCCCTCAGAGACCCCCGGGATAGCCCCCAGCCCCTCAGAGACCCCCGGGATAGCCCCCAGCCCCTCTGGATCTCCCCAGAACAGCACCCAGCCCCTCAGAGACCCCCAGAACAGCCCCCAGCCCCTCTGGGACCCCCAGAACAGCCCCCAGCCCCCAGCCCGCCGTGCCTGGCCGGGGTTGGGGCCGCCCAGGGTGGGCTGCCGTGCCCCGAAGCTCTGCGCGTGTTTGCTGCTCTGCTCCTTCTTGGCCTCCACGGCCGCGTAGTACCTGCGGCAGGTGTGGGGCAGGTGTGGGGCAGGTGTGGGGCAGGTGTGGGGCAGGTGTGGGGCAGGTGAGGGGCAGGTGTGGGGCAGGTGAGGGGCAGGTATGGGGCAGGTGTGGGGCAGGTGTGGGGGCAGGTGAGGACAGAGGTGGGGCAAGTTTGGGGCAAGTGAGGGACAGTTGAGGGGCAAGTTTGGGGCAGTTGAGGGGCAGGTGTGGGGCAGGTGTGAGGCAGTTGTGGGGCAGGTGTGGACAGAGGTGGGGCAAGTTTGGGGCAAGTTTGGGGCAGGTGAGGGGCAAGCTTGGGGCAGTTGAGGGGCAGGTGTGGGGGCAGGTGAGGGGCAGGTGAGAACAAGGGCGGGGCAAGTTTGGGGCAAGTTTGGGGCAGGTGAGGACAGGGGTGGGGCAAGTTTGGGCCAAGTTTGGGGCAGGTGAGGGGCAGGTGAGAGCAGAGGTGGGGCAGGTTATGAGGCAGATTTATGGCAATTTAGGGCAGGTTTGGGGCACGAACAGGACAAGGTTTTGGGGCAGTTTTGGGGCAATAACAGGACTGGGTTTTGGGGCAGATTTGGGGTGGTTTTGGGGCAGATTCAGATCAGGTTTTTGGGGCAGGTTTGGGGCAGTTTTGGGGCATGTACAGGACTGGGTTTTGGGTCAGGTTTGGGGCAGGATTTTGGGGCAGATTCAGGCAGGTTTTGAGGCAGATTTATGGCAATTTAGGGCAGTTTTGGGGCAGATTCAGGTCAGGGTTTTGGGGCAGGTTTGGGCAGGTTTTGGGGCAGATTCAGGCCGGTTTGGGGCAATAACAGGACAGGGTTTTGGGGCAGGTTTGGGCAGGATTTTGGGGCAGATTCAGGTCAGGGTTTTGGGGCAGGTTTGGGCAGGTTTTGGGGCAGATTCAGGCAGGTTTTGGGGCAGATTCAGGTCAGGGTTTTGGGTCAGGTTTGGGGCAGATTCAGGCCGGTTTGGGGCACTAACAAGACAGGGTTTTGGGGCAGATTTGGGCAGGTTTTGGGGCAGATTCAGGCCGGTTTGGGGCAGGAACAGGACAGGGTTTTGGGGCAGGATTTTGGGGCAGATTCAGGCCGGTTGGGGCTCACCCCTGCGTGCTGAAGGCCCCGCCCGGGCCCAGCAGCTGGAACAGCTGGTGCCGCGTGCGGGAGCTGTTCCCGGTGAACAGAAAATGCTCCAGCGGCACCGGGCGCCGCGGCGTGCTGATCACCCGCACACAGCGCCGCTTGGTGCGCCTGGAACGGGGCGAAAAACGGAGAAATTGGGAAAAAACAGGATTGGAGCAGGTACAGCGCCGCTTGGTGCGCGTGGAACGGGGCAAAAAACAGAGAAATTGGGAAAAAAACAGGATTGGAGCAGGTACAGCGCCGCTTGGTGCACCTGGAATGGGGCAGAAAACGGAGAAATTGGGAAAAAAATAGAGAAATTGGATAAAAAACAGAGAAATTGGAAAAAAAACAGAGAAATTGGGAAAAAAAACAGAGAAATTGGGAAAAAAAACAGAGAAATTGGGAAAAAAAACAGAGGAATTGGGAAAAAAACAGCATTGGAGCAGTCACAGCGCCGCTTGGTGCGCCTGGAATGGGGCAGAAAACGGAGAAATTGGGAAAAAAATAGAGAAATTGGGAAAAAAACAGAGAAATTGGGAAAAAACAGAGAAATTGGGAAAAAAACAGAGGAATTGGGAAAAAAACAGGATTGGAGCAGTTACAGCGCCGCTTGGTGCGCCTGGAATGGGGCAAAAAACAGAGACATTGGGGAAAAAAACAGAGAAATTGGGAAAAAAACAGAGAAATTGGGAAAAAAACAGAGAAATTGGGAAAAAACAGAGAAATTGGGAAAAAAACAGAGAAATTGGGAAAAAAACAGAGAAACTGGGAAAAAAACAGAGAAATTGGGAAAAAATCCAGAGAAATTGGGAAAAAAACAGAGAAACTGGGAAAAAAACAGAGAAATTGGGAAAAAAAACCAGAGAGATTGGGAAAAAACAGGATTGGAGCAGTTACAGCGCCGCTTGGTGCGCCTGGAATGGGGCAGAAAACGGAGAAATTGGGGAAAAAAACAGAGAAATTGGGAAAAAAACAGAGAAATTGGGAAAAAAACAGAGAAATTGGGAAAAAAAACAGAGAAATTGGAAAAAAACAGGATTGGAGCAGTTACAGCGCCGCTTGGTGCGCCTGGAACGGGGCAGAAAACAGAGAAATTGGGAAAAAAAATAGAGAAATTGGAAAAAAACCAGAGAAATTGGGAAAAAAACAGAGAAATTGGGAAAAAAACCAGGATTGGAGCAGTCACAGCGCCGCTTGGTGCGCCTGGAACGGGGCAGAAAACAGAGAAATTGGGAAAAAACAGAGAAATTGGGAAAAAACCAGAGAAATTGGGAAAAAACCAGAGAAATTGGGAAAAAAAACCAGAGAAATTGGGAAAAAAACAGAGAAATTGGAAAAAAAACAGAGAAATTGGGAAAAAAAACCAGAGAAATTGGGAAAAAAACAGGATTGGAGCAGTCACAGCGCCGCTTGGTGCGCGTGGAACGGGGCAGAAAACGGAGAAATTGGGAAAAAAATAGAGAAATTGGGAAAAAACCAGGATTGGAGCAGTCACAGCGCAGCTTGGTGTGCGTGGAATGGGGCAAAAAACGGAGAAATTGGGAAAAAATCAGAGAAATTGGGAAAAAAAACAGGATTGGAGCAGGTACAGCGCCGCTTGGTGCGCCTGGAATGGGGCAAAAAACGGAGAAATTGGGAAAAAATCAGAAAAATTGGGAAAAAAACAGAGAAATTGGGAAAAAAACATAGAAATAGGGAAAAAAAAACAGAGAAATTGGGAAAAAAACAGAGAAATTGGGAAAAAAAAACAGAGAAATTGGGGAAAAAACAGAGAAATTGGGAAAAAAACAGGATTGGAGCAGGTACAGCGCCGCTTGGTGCGCCTGGAATGGGGCAGAAAACGGAGAAATTGGGAAAAAAACAGAGAAATTGGGAAAAAAACAGCATTGGAGCAGGTACAGCGCCGCTTGGTGTGTGTGGAATGGGGCAAAAAACGGAGAAATTGGGAAAAAAACAGGATTGGAGCAGTCACAGCGCCGCTTGGTGCGCGTGGAACGGGGCAAAAAACGGAGAAATTGGGAAAAAACAGAGAAATTGGGAAAAAACAGGATTGGAGCAGTTACAGCGCCACTTGGTGTGCGTGGAATGGGGCACAAAACAGAGAAATTGGGAAAAAAACAGAGAAATTGGGAAAAAACAGGATTGGAGCAGTTACAGCGCCGCTTGGTGCGCCTGCAACGGGGCAAAAAACGGAGAAATTGGGAAAAAAACAGAGAAATTGGGAAAAAAACAGGATTGGAGCAGTCACAGCGCCGCTTGGTGTGCGTGGAACGGGGCAGAAAACGGAGAAATTGGGAAAAAACAGAGAAATTGGGGAAAAAACAGAGAAATTGGGAAAAAACAGAGAAATTGGGGAAAAAAAACAGAGAAATTGGGAAAAAACAGGATTGGAGTAGTTACAGGGATCCCCTGACCCCCATGTCCCTGTCACCCCTACCCCAGAGCCCCCACAGCCACCCCAAGGACCCCCAGGGACCCCCCAAATCCACCCTGGGACCCCCCAGGGACCTCCAGGAACCCCTCGAAGCCCCCCTGGGACCCCTCAAAGCCCCCTAGGAACCCCTCAAAGTCACCCCAGGGACCCCCCAAATCCCCTCAGGGACCCTCAAAGCTCCCCAGGGACCCTCAAAGCCCCTCAGGGACCCCCCAAAGCCCCTCAGGGACCCCCCAAAGCCCCCCTGGGACCCCCCAAATCCCCTCAGGGACCCCCCAAATCCCCTCAGGGACCCTCAAAGCCCCCTAGGAACCCCTCAAAGTCACCCCAGGGACCCCTCAAAGCTCCCTAAGGACCCTCAAAACCTCCCTGGGACCCCCAAATCCCTCAGGGACCCCCCAAATCCCCTCAGGGACCCCCCCAAAGCCCCCCACGTCCATACCCGACCCACTGGGCGAACTCGAGGGCGTTGGGGACGGTGGCACTGAGCAGCACCAGCTTGACGTGCTCGGGCAGCAGGATCAGCACCTCCTCCCACACCACGCCCCGCTGCGGGGAGGGGGTCAGGGGGGTCCCCAAAACCCCCTGGGACCCCCCAAAAACCCCTGGGACCCCCCAAAACCCCCAGCAACCCCCTCAAATTCTGTAGGCATCTCCCCGCCCTGGCACCATCGTCATCATCGTCATCGCAGAGAAAGAGGGGCTCGTGGAAAATGACCCAGTGAGGGTCACAGGTGATGGCAGAGACCCCCAAGACCCCCCAAACCCCATGAAGACCCCCCCCAAATTCTTCCAGAGACCCTCCTGAAACCCCCAGACCCCTTAGGAGCCCCCTCCCATCATCACTGATTGAATCCATCCTACCAAAAATCCACCCAGGGCACACCCCAAATGACACCAGAGCTCCCCAAACCCCCCTCATCCCCCCAAAAACCCCACAGGGGACCCCCCCAGACACCCCCAGACCCCTCCCAGACACCCCCAGACCCCTTCCAGAGACCCCAGACCCCTTAGGAGCCCCCTCCCATCATCACTGATAGAATCTATGCTATCAAAAATCCACCCAGGGCAGACCCCAAATGACACCAGAGCTCCCCAAAGCCACCCCACACCCCAAAAACCCCACAGGGGACCCCCCCAGACACCCCCAGACCCCTCCCAGACACCCCCAGACCCCTCAGGAAACCCCCTCCCATCTTTACTGATAGAATCCATCTTATCAAAATCCACCCAGGGCAGACCCCAAATTACACCAGAGCTCCCCAAACCCACCCCATCACCCCAAAAACCCCACAGGGGAGCCCCCCAGACACCCCCAGACCCCTCCCAGAGACCCCCAGACCCCTCCCAGAGACCCCAGACCCCTTAGGAGCCCCCTCCCATCATCACTGATTGAATCCATCTTATCAAAAATCACCCAGGGCAGACCCCAAATGACACCAGAGCTCCCCAAACCCACCCCACACCCCAAAAACCCCACAGGGGACCCCCCCAGACACCCCCAGACCCCTTCCAGAGACCCCAGACCCCTCCCAGACACCCCCAGACCCCTTCCAGAGACCCCAGACCCATTAGGAGCCCCCTCCCATCATCACTGATTGAATCCATCCTATCAAAAATCCACCCAGGGCAGACCCCAAATGACACCAGAGCTCCCCAAACCCACCCCATCACCCCAAAAACCCCACAGGGGACCCCCCAGACACCCCCAGACCCCTCCCAGACACCCCCAGACCCCTCCCAGAGACCCCAGACCCCTGCCAGACACCCCCAGACCCCTCCCAGACACCCCCAGACCCTTAAGGAGCCCTCTCCCATCATCACTGATTGAATCCATCCTATCAAAAATCCACCCAGGGAAGACCCCAAATGATACCAGAGCTCCCCAAACCCACCCCATCACCCCAAAAACCCCACAGGGGACCCCCCCAGAGACCCCAGACCCCTCCCAGAGACCCCCAGACCCCTCCCAGAGACCCCAGACCCCTCGGGAAACCCCCTCCCATCATCACTAATGTAACACACCCCATCAAACATCACCCAGGGCAGACCCCAAATGACACCAGAGCTCCCCAAACCCATCCTGTAACCCCAAATTTCCTATGGAAGATCCCCCAGAGACCCCCCAGAGACCCTCAGAGACCCCAGACCCCTCCCAGAGACCCCAGACCCCTTCCAGACACCCCCAGACCCCTTAGGAGCCCCCTCCCATCACCACTAATGTAACACACCCCATCAAACATCACCCAGGGCAGACCCCAAATGACACCAGAGCTCCCCAAAGCCACCCCATCACCCCAAAAACCCCACAGGGGACCCCCCAAGACCCCTCCCAGAGACCCCAGACCCCTTCCAGAGACCCCCAGACCCCTCCCAGAGACCCCCAGACCCCTCAGGAAACCCCCTCCCATCACCACTAATGTAACACACCCCATCAAACATCACCCAGGGCAGACCCCAAATGACACCAGAGCTCCCCAAACCCACCCCATCACCCCAAAAACCCCACAGGGGACCCCCCCAGACACCCCCAGACCCTTCCCAGACACCCCCAGACCCCCCCAGACACCCCCAGACCCCTCCCAGAGACCCCAGACCCCTCCCGAACCCCCAGACCCCTCAGGAAACCCCCTCCCATCATCACTGATTGAATCCATCCTACCAAAAATCCACCCAGGGCAGACCCCAAATGACACCAGAGCTCCCCAAACCCACCCCACACCCCCAAAACCCCACAGGGGACCCCCCCAGACCCCTCCCAGAGACCCCAGACCCCTCCCAGACACCCCCAGACCCCTCCCAGAGACCCCAGACCCCTTAGGGGCCCCCTCCCATCATCACTGATTGAATCCATCTTATCAAATATCCACCCAGGGCAGACCCCAAATGACACCAGAGCTCCCCAAACCCCCCCCATCACCCCAAAAACCCCACAGGGGACCCCCCAGACACCCCCAGACCCATCCCAGAGACCCCAGACCCCTCCCAGAGACCCCAGACCCCTCCCAGAGACCCCCAGACCCCTTAGGAGCCCCCTCCCATCATCACTGATTGAATCCATCCTATCAAAAATCACCCAGGGCAGACCCCAAATGATACCAGAGCTCCCCAAACCCACCCCACACCCCAAAAACCCCACAGGGGACCCCCCCAGAGACCCCCAGACCCCTCCCAGAGACCCCCAGACCCCTCGGGAAACCCCCTCCCATCACCACTAATGTAACACACCCCATTAAACATCACCCAGGGCAGACCCCAAATGACACCAGAGCTCCCCAAACCCACCCCACACCCCAAAAACCCCACAGGGGACACCCCCAGAGACCCCCAGACCCCTCCCAGAGACCCCAGACCCCTCCCAGAGACCCCAGACCCCTCCCAGAGACCCCCAGACCCCTCCCAGACCCCTCTCAGAGACCCCAGACCCCTTAGGAGCCCCCTCCCATCATGACTGATTGAATCCATCTTATCAAAATCCACCCAGGGCAGACCCCAAATGACACCAGAGCTCCCCAAACCCACCCCACACCCCAAAAACCCCACAGGGGACCCCCTCAGACACCCCCAGACCCTCCCAGAGACCCCAGACCCCTCCCAGACACCCCCAGACCCCTTAGGAGCCCCCTCCCATCATCACTGATTGAATCCATCCTATCAAAAATCCACCCAGGGCAGACCCCAAATGACACCAGAGCTCCCA